GAGAGACCGAGAGAAATGGAGAGAAAGAGCAATTTAATTAGCACCCAACGGGGCCTCCAACCAGCCACCACCACTCAAAAAAAAATGAGTCGACAGAGAAGAAGGCTTAGCGTTCGTTTCTTTTTATGACTAAGAAAATTGGGCAAAATGGGGTTACCAACGGGGTTACTTCTTGGAAATGAGAGAATGAACTTTTGTTGCATTGATGGATTAGATTTCTCATAGAATTTATTGAAAAATTATGACATTTTGATGTGATTTGGATAGTGCAAGTTAGGGTTAAAATCGCAAAAGCGCAAACTTATAAATGAGGATTCTGCTGAATCTAGGCTTATTTTGAAGCTCGTGACTTTATGAACGATTGAGTGGTTGATACAGATTGATCCGACTAGTTTGAGCTGAGATATGTCTTTCGAAATGAGGGAGAGGTACGCTACGCGACCGCGACGCGTGGGTCGAAAACCGGAGTCATTCAAAATAGGTCATGTTGGAGATCATTTTGAAGCTCGTGACTTCACAAAAATTGTGTTTAAAGTTTCAAACTGATCCGACTAGTTTGAGCTGAGATACGCCCGTTTGAAGTAAATGCGACAGCACGCTACGCAACCGCGACGCCTAGGTCAAAACTGGGAATTGGCTAAAATAGGTCAAGTTTAGGCTCGTTTTGAAGCTAAGCTCTTGAGAAACATGTTCGTTCAAATTTCAGGCTGATCCGACTATTTTCAATTGAGATACGTCCATTCAATGTAAAAGGAAGGCCCGCTACGCAAAGGTCAAACTTTGTTTGAAGCTAAGCCTTTGAGAACTGAGTTTTCAGAAGTTTCAAAGCGATCCGAGCAGTTTAAGCTGAGATACGGCTAATGGAAGGGGATGGACACGCTACGCAGCCGCGACGCGTAGATCAACATTCAAAATAATCTTAACTAGGTCAAACTTAGGCTCATTTTGAAGCTAAGCCCTTGAGAAATAAGCTTGCTAAAGTTTCAAAACGATCCGACCAGTTTAAGTTGTGATAAGCCCCTTTTAAGAAAAGAGACAGCACGCAACGCAGCCGCGACGCGTAGATCAAAATTCAAAATAATTCTAAATAGGTCAAGATTAGGCACATTTTGAAGCTCATCACTTCACAAACATTTTGTTTATTGTTTCGAATCTGTTGGACCATTTTGGGCTGAGTTAGGGCTCATTTTAAAATATGGCACGCAACGCAACCGCGACGGTCAAAACGGTCAAAACTAGGAATTGACTAAAATAGGTCAAGTTTAGGCTCGTTTTGAAGCTAAGCTCTTGAGAAACATGTTCGTTCAAATTTCAGGCTGATCCGACTATTTTCAATTGAGATACGTCCATTCAATGTAAAAGGAAGGCCCGCTACGCAAAGGTCAAAATTCAAAATTGTCCAAAACAGGTCATCTTTGAGCTCATTTTAAAGCTGACAACCTAATAAACATTTTATTAGGTCTATTTCAAGCTGATCCGACTAGTTTGAGCTGAGATACGGCTATTAGAAGGGGGATGAACACGTTACGCGAACGCGACGCGTAGGTCAAAACCCATAATCGTCGTAAAGAGGTCAAGTTTAGGCTCATTTTGAAGCTCATAACTTCACAAACAATTTGGTTATTGTTTCAAATCATTTGCATCATTTTGAGCAGAGTTATAGCCCATTAAAAAAAGAACACGCAACGCAACCGCGACGCGTAGGTCAAAAATGGAAATCGTCTAAAATAGGTCGTGTTTAGGCTCATTTTGAAGCTAAAAATTTAATAAACATCTTGGATAATGTTTCAAATCATTTGGACAAAGTTGAGAAGAGGTATGGTTAATGTAAAGATCCCAAAATTCAAATTTGGCACTAAACTTAGAATCCAATCCCTTTTTAGTCTTTTTTTTCGGTATTTTTTGATTATGCCTAACCTGGTTATGGTAAACAAGCCCATAAAATATGCTATTATGTTTTCCAATCATATTTCCAGATATATTTTCAGACATATATATATCTTTTAATTTAGGAAATGGAAAAAAAGTGTCCAGACTCATAAAAACGGGGGAACCCACTCTTTCAAAAAGTTCCTCAATTCTTGATTAGCAATGTCTTGTTTTTCCTTCTCAAAGTCCTCCACCGAGCAACAATAAACGCCGTGTTTTTCTTTCAACAGCGAATTGGTGGGCGGCAATTTTGAGGTGCAGCAATGGACGAATGTCGGGTTCGCTTTGAAGTCGGGACACGTCTTGTTTCGAAGGGATCCTAGAGAAATGGGGTTTTGGATTTTGATTATAGGGTTTTTGGGCTCTCTAGCAAAAAAAAGATATTGGAAAAATATGAAAAATGAAGGGAGTTATGGGAGTTTGAACATTTTTGGAATATTTTTTTTAAAATGAAGTTTTGAAGGAAAGTTGCAGAACTTTCAGCAAGTTTTCTTGACTGAAAATCATCCAAAATTTAAAAATTCTGAATTTCCAGAATTTCCAGAAAAGTTTCTGTGAAAAATGGCAAAAAAATGGTTTTTCAAATTTTTAAAAAATTTCGAAAAAAAAACATTTTTAGTAAAATTTCAAACTCTCCTAACTTTGTTCATTTTCAACCAAATTTCAAAAATTTTGGCTTAAATAAACCCCCTGAATCTCCTTTTTTCAAAAATTAGTTTTTCTTTTATATTTCCCTATATCTGGGGCGCCTTTGACGCGTTTAGAGACTCAACTCACCTCCTGGCGTGGCTGCTGGAATTGGGCATACCAATCCGGTGGAAAATCGGCAAACTAGAAATATTTGTAGTAGAAAAAATTGGAAATTCTGTTTGGGACCACTCCACCGCATTTTTTTCTGAAAAAAACTCTTTTAGTTGAATTTTGAGAAAAAAAAGAAAAAAATCGAAAAAATAAGTTTTAAGCGAATTTCAGGCCCGGCCCCTGGAAATATTAAAAAGCTAGAACACAATTTCCAGGTTTGAATTGTGTAAAATTTATTCATCTTTAATTTTATTTGCATCTTGTGTGAATAGGCTAATTTTCAACTAGAGAAACTTGAGTTTTTCTAACTGAACCCTATTTTTTGGGTTCCTCAACTTCTAGAGCGTATATCTCAAAAACCAATTAACCTATCCAAAAACTATAAACTACAAAAAGGTGTGAAATTTTATGCCAAACATTTTTGCAATTAACCAAATTTGTCTAGCTAATCCACAAATATAGATACAGACAGTTTTCTAGAGGCATGTACTGTTTCCACAAGGTGAGGGCGAGAGAGAGAGGGAGTAGAGAGACGCAGAGAAAGAGGGGGGAAAGGACAGGTGGGGAATGGATTCAAAAGTGAATTATGTATTGTGTATCGAAATATAGAAAAAGAGGAAAAACCGGTTTTTCGGGGAAATCTGAGAAATTGAGGTTTAGAGAAATGATGGGAACATTTTGGGAATTTTCAAATTCTGAAAAAAAAGGAAAAATTGAAAAAATATTTTCTTAGTGTCAAAAAATTTTCTAAACAAAAGTAACAAATTCTCTGGGAGGAGACCCCGAAACAGAAGAAGAAGAAAAGAGAAGTGTTGGTTGTGGTTGATGGGGCACACGCCGCCCCTTCCGTATGCCTCTCTCTCTCTCACTCTCACTCTCACCAACTCTCATCAAAAGATAGTGTAACTTGTGTTGCCTCAGTGTGTGTGTGTGTGTTGAGAGAATGGGAAAAAAGAGTTTTTGGGCGGAGCCTAGAAGACGCAGATATTGAGAGAGAGAGAGTGTGTGTGAGGAGAAGAGACGCAGAGAAGACAAAGTGCATGGAAAGAAGAAGAAGAAGAAGGGGTCCTAAATCAGTATGATTAAAAAAGTTTTGGCTCTCCCTCTCGCCCTTCTTCTTCTTTTTTCTAGAACTTTTGAGTTCGAGGCCCTCAAGGAATTGGGAGGGTTCTCAGAGTTCTTTTTTAGATGATCTAGAATCTTCGAAATTTCTTTAAACTTTAGATTTCTCAGAATCTTAGAATATTCCATTGATATGGAACTTCGTACTACGGAAAGTGCTAAAATGAGTTCCAGAAAATCGAATTTTTCAGCATTCAGAATTCCCCGAAAATCTTCTCAACTGTGATTTTTTATCTTTCCGAGTTATTAGCTTTAAAATAAGCCTAAACACAACCTAATTCGGACAATTTTCATTTTCGAGCCATGCGACGCGGTCGCGTAGCGGTTTTTGGTCAAATTTTAAAAATAATCCAAATTGTGTCGTGTTTAGGCTCATTTTGAAGCTGAAAACCTTAAAAATCTGAAAATGCAAGTTTGAAAAAGATTGGGCCAACTAAAATCGGAGAAAATCTTAAAAGGGATTACAAAATTTTGGAAAATCCACCTTTTGGAAACTTTAAACTTTCAAAATGCCCTGAAAACCGATTAACGCATGATTTGTGAACTCCCAACGTTATTAGCTTCAAAATGAGCCTCAACACGGCCTGATTCGGACAATTTTTATTTTCGACCCTCGCGACGCGGGCGCGTAGCGGTTTTTGGTCAAATTTTTAAAATAATCCAAATTGTGTTGTGTTTAGGCTTATTTTAAAGCTGAAAACCTTAAAAATCTAAAAATGTAAGTTTTGAGGAGTTTGGAGACGCTGAGAAAATCTCAAAATGAGTCATAAAATATCGGAAAACCTATTTTCTTGTTAGATTTAAACTTTCAGAATGTCCTGAAAATCATTGAAAATGCGATTTTTAATCTTCCAACGTGATTAGCTTCGAAATGAGCCTAAACACGACCTAATTTGGACAAATGTCATTTTCGACCCACGGCGACGCGGTCGCGTAGCGGTTTTTTTGTCAAAATTTCAAAATCAACCAAACTGGGTCGTGTTTAGGCTCATTTTAAAGCTAACAATCTCAAAAGCTTGAAATTTTAGATTTCAAGAGATCCAGACCAACTGAACTCTGATAAAATCTCAAATTATACATTTCTCTAAAAATGAGTAAAATTTAAAAATCAATCGAAACTAGGCGTGTTTAGGCTTATTTTGAAGCTGAAAATCCTAGAAACTCAACAATGTAAATTTCAGTTCATATTGAACAATTCCAAAGCCACAAGACCCCCCAAGAAGGAAACGCAATGCCATGTTTTTGGAAATCAAATATGACGACTAGAGCTCTCTCTCTCTCGTCAATTTTTTGAATAGCTTGTAAAATGAATGTTTACCAAAGAATTCGGAAAAAAAGAAGGCGACGGGGGGAGAAAACAAACAGAGAAAATAATATTGGTTTTTTTTCTGTGGCCCAGAGGCTCTAAGGAGAAATCGGGGTCCCCAGCAGAAGCACCACTTTCAGAGAAAATAATGAAAGAAAATGCTCTGGAAATAGGAAAAAATCTGTTCAATGCCAAAAAACACCACACCTCGCCTTTTTTGTATAGAAAATTGGAGAGAAAACGGATGTTTTTTTGGCGGGAACTGAGGGAAAAAAGGGGCGGAGCTTGGGGGAGCGATAAGAGAAGATTTGACATATATTTATATGAAAAAGAAGGAAATTGAAAAAAGCGGGGGATTAGAGATTTATGAATGGAGAAAATAATATGAAGGAAAATAGAAAAAATTCCTGTAAATGCTAAAAATGGGTTTCAAAATATCGGAAAATCCAAATTTTGGCTTTCAGATTTTTTCTGAAACGCTTGAAAGAACGATTTTCGATCTCCCCGAGTTTTTAGCTTCAAAATGAGCCCCAACACGGCTTAATTCAGACAATTTTTATTTTCGACCCTCGCGACGCGGTCGCGTAGCGGTTTTTTTTTCAAATTTTCAATATCAACCAAAAGGTGTCGTATTTAGGCTCGTTTTAAAGCTAACAATCTGAGAAATTCGAAAATTCAAGTTTCAAAAAACTAGAAACAACGAAACTTTGAGAAAATCTCAAAATACATTCATCTGAAAATAGGTCATTTTTCAAAATCTATCGAAACTAGGCGTGTTTGAGCTCATTTTGAAGCTGAACACTCACTTTTGATCTTCCCGAGTTATCAGCTTTAAAATGAACCCTAACACGACCTAATCCGGACAATTTTTATTTTCGGCCAATGTGACGCGGTCGCGTAGCGGTTTTTTTGTCAAATTTTCAAAATCAACCGAACTGGATCGTGTTTAGGCTTATTTTGAAGCTGCCAACCTGAGAAATTCTAAAAATTAAGTTTCAAAAAAGTTCGACTAACGAAACTTCGAGAATATCACAAAATTAGTTTCAAAGCATTGGAAACTCAGACTTTTTCAAACTTTAAACTTTCGATGAAACCCGTTTAAAGTATGATTTTTGGACTCCCCGCGTTATAAGCTTCAAAATGAGCTGTAACACCTAGTTCTGACGTTTTTAATTTTTGACTCATACGACGCGGTCGCGTAGCGGTTATTGCTCAAAATTTCAAAATCAATCAAAATATGTCGTGTTTATGCTTATTTTGAAGCTGACAGTCCGTGAAATTCAAAAATTCAAGTTTTGAAGAGTTTGAAGGACTACAAGTCTTAGAAAAACTACAAATTACCCCGCCAAAAAGAGCATTTTCAGCTTTCTTTTTTCAAGCTTAATTATTTCGGTTCCCATAAAAGATATCAAAAAAGTGTAAACTACAAAAATGTTGATGGGAATATGATAAACATTTTATCAGTTGATCACTTTTTCATATCTATTATAGGAACCGAGATAATTAGGCTCTAAATAAAGCTATCTAGGTGTGTTTCAGCATGCGGTTGGTCCATATAAGAAGCAGAAATGGGGCCCACGGGTTCAGTTTTTGTGGTGGAAACCATCAATATCTTATTCATGAAAAAAAGGGAAAAAGAGAGTTTATTGTGCTCCTAGGGACCTTAGAAGGGTGGAAAAGGAAAAGAGCACATTCAATATTCTGGTGCTTTAGAATTATTGGGGCCTTCAGAAGACGTCCGTGAGGAAGAAGACGTCTTCTGAAGACGTTGTTCTTCATATTTATTCTAAAATGCAAAGAGATATATTAAATGGGGGTCATCTTTTGGCTTCTGGCTCTTTCAATGCTCTTTTAGACCTTTGCCGAAGATCCTGGGGGAACATTTTTTGAAAAAAATTTTGTTTTAATTTTTAATATTTTTTTTTGAAAATCTTTTTTTTTTCAAATAAGAAAAACACAAAATTGTAAATTTTCTCCTCAAAAAAAAAATCCAGAAAATTCCAAAAAATCAGTGATGCATGAACTGAAAAAACCCAAAAAAAAGTATCCTACTTGGGATTTTTTTTCTTTTTTTTTTTCTTTTTTTTTGTGGAGCACCACACAATTTACTTATGGTTTCACACAGATTTTTGGTTTTTTAAGTGCAAAAAAAACCAAGAAAAAAAGGAAGAGAAAAAATGGTACTTGAGAATTCGCTCAAAACTTGCTAAAAACGTTAGAATCTGAAAATCATTTTCAGATTTTTTCAGATTTCTATCGCTCCAAACTTCTTGAACCTTGAATTTTTAAATTTATGAAGTTTTCAGCTTTAAAATGAGCCCAAACACGACACAATTTGGTTCATTTTGAAAATTTGACCGAAAACCGCTACACGACCGCGTCGCATGGGTCAAAAATAAAAAAATGCCCGTTTCAGGTCGTGTTTGGGCTCATTTTAAAGCTGATTGTGCGGAAAACTGAAAATGGTGTTTTTAAAAGTTTTCTGAAAGTTCTGCAAGTTGAAAGTTTGAAAAAACTGGATTTTCCAATATTTTTGAAACTCATTTCGAAAATTTCTTGAAGCTCGGTTGGTCCAGAACTCTTGAATCTTAAATTTTTAAATTTCTAAAATTGTGATCTTCAAAATAAGCCTAAACACGACCCAGTTTGGTTCGTTTTGAAAATCTGACCAAAAACCGCTACGCGACCGCGTCGCGTGTGTCAAAATGAAAATTGTCAGAATTAGGCCGTGTTGGGGCTCATTTTGAAGCTAATCACGCGGGAAAATCAAAAATCATATAGTCAGCTTTAAAATAAGCTTAAATACGGCCAAACTATTTCAGTAACTATTCTGAAACTCATGGAATCTAAAAAAAATTGAAAATTTGAAAAAAAAAATTAATTAAATTTATTTCAGCGATTTTTAAAAATTTGAACTTTTTTTCAGAAAAATACAAGTTTTGGGAATATGGAAAAAAAATGAACCGATCACAAAAATATACAGAAAATCACAAAAAAATTTCCGAAAAAAATTTTTTTTTCGGAAAAAAAAGAATAAGACATTTAAGAATATATATGGCGTAGTATACATCATACATGTACAAATATTTTGTGACAAAAAGAGAAAAAAGTGATTGACAAGTTGTCAAGTAAGAAGCTGTCGATCATGGTAATCCGTCTTCAGAATCCCCTCGAAAAGGTCCGAACGAATTCTGGTTTTATTCAGATTGAATGTGTCCTCCAGTGACGTCACACGTTGTTTCATATGACCGGCAAAGTGCTGAAAGTTTCAGATAATAAATTTTCGAAATTTTTTTTAAAATTTTTTTTAAATTTTGGATTACTGTAATTTCTCTTACCGAAAACGAAATGATACGATTATTTAAATCCTTATTCAACCCATCTACTATTCTTTCCAGCCGATCCAATTGCTCATCAACGGACATGAAATCTACCTGGAACAATTTTATTAATTTTTTGAAAAAATTGTTTTTTTGGAAAATATTCTAAAAATGAAATTTCTAGACTAAAATTTCATGAAAAATCTGAATTTTACATCAAAAACTCCATATTCTGAAGTCTAAACCCACCAAAGCCTCATCATCCATATCTTCGGGATCATCACATTTCATCTCTCCCAACTCGTTGGTTTCCAGCAGCCCTTTGGAGTGGAGCATACGGCGAGCTGGAATTTTTTTTAACTTGCAATTGAATCAATCGAACTTTCAGAAGAGTAAGAATTTCCATTCATTTTAAGCCAAAAATCAAGTTTCTAGGTTTATTTTAAAGGAAGTTATGGGACTTTGAAGGTAAATCCAGGTGTTTAGGTGGGTGTGTCTCTTTAAAGGCGCATATCTCAAAAACGGTTAAAGCTGTCAAAAATTTTTCAACTAATAGTATATAGAAAATTTAAAAATACACATTTTTGTAATTTACAAATTTTAAATAGCTCTCTTAGTGTTTGAGATATGCGCCTTTAAAGAGACGCAGACACCCAGGCGCTTCGTTTCGGGCGCCCTTTCTTTAAAGGCGCATATCTCAAAAACGTTTGGAGCTATCAAAAAGTTGTTAACTAATAAAATATGTAAAATTTCAAGGCAAACAAATTTGCAATTTACAAAATTTGCATATCTTTTCTTTGAGGTATACCTCCTGGCGTGGAGACTCAGGCAACGAGACTCTCTAGCTTCTCTGCGTCTCTTTTTCTTTTTCATTTTTCGATATGAAAAATTTGAAATTTCACGTTTGTTTTCTTAATTTTTGAACTGCCAACATTTCAGACTTCCACGAAGTTTAGATCCTTATCAGAAAATAAAAAGTCAAATCGATAAAATCCACAAATCAGTTCTCACAAAAATCAGCTTCCCTTTTCCCTCAACTCTCTTCTCAATCAAATATGAGCAATATTTGTCCCCTTCTCGGAGAATAATGTAAGCTTTTTTTAGTAGTTTGAAAAAATCAATAATCGATTTTTCCAGATTTCGATCCTCTGATTTTCAAAAGAGATTATCCAAGAAGAGGACTACTATCATATTAATGTAGGTTTGCAATGGAGCGCATTTTCTAATTTTTGCAATTTTGCAGATTCTACAATTACTTCGATTAATGACAAGGGCATTCTGAGCGTCACAGAGCTACTTTATTTTCAAATGAAAAAATAAATTATTTTTCTTAATTTTTTTTTGATTATTGTGATCATTTTCAGAGTGATTTTAATACAGTTACTGATAGTAAAATTTCCAGACAAAAATTTTGTTAGTTGCCAATTTTTTAATAGCTCTTATGGTACGCGAGATATGCTCCTTTAAAGAGACGCAGAGAAACTGGTGTGCTTTGATGTCTGCGTCCCTGCCAACTTTAAAGGCGCATATCTCAAAAACGATAAAAGCAATTAAAAAGTTGTAAATTGGAAAATGTGTGAAATTTTAAGGCAATTGTTTTTGTAGTTGACATATTTTTGATATTTTTTACGGTTTTTGAGTTATGCGCCTTTAAAGTTTTCCTCTCTTCCTGGAGAGCTACCAAGGCGCTTGGTAGTCTGTGCCTCTTTAAAGGGGCATAACTCAAGAATCGTTAGGGATGTCAAAAAATAGTTTATTGTGAAAATAAAGCCCTTAAAATTTTACATCACTTGCAGTTTATAAAACTAAAATACCTTTCAAGGTTTTTGAGTTATGCGCCTTTAAAGAGACGCAGACTATTATGTGGCTTTCTCCCCATTTTTCAACTTTATAGGCACATATCTCAGAAACAAAAAAGATAGCAAACTTTTGTTTGTTGGAAGATATGTAATAATTAACAGGCTACATTTTTGCAATTTACAATTTTTCGATTGCTTTAATTTTTTTGAGATATGCGCCTTTAAAAGTTTCAGCTTTTGTGGTCGGCGCCAGAGTGCATGCTAGTCTGCGTCTCTTTAAAGGCGCATATCTCAAAAATCGTTGGAAATATCAAAATATTATTTATTATAAAAATGTAGCCCTTTAAATGTTACATCTTTAACAATTAACAAAATTGAAGTACTTCCTACCGTTTTTGAGATATTCGCCTTTAAAGAGGCGGAGACTACCAAGAGAGGACGTCTGTTTAAAGGCGCATAACTCATAAACGGTGAAAGCTATCAAACAATTGTAAATTTACAAAATGTGTAAAATTTTATAAGCTACATTTTACAAATTTATCATTTTAAAATATCTGTTAAACTAAATAAGTTACACTCTGTTTTTTGAAATGGGTAATGAAAATTAGGGGGGGGGGGGGGGGGCCCAAAGTTTAAAATACCATAACTATGTTAGAATTTGACGTAGAAACTTGAAATATAGCTAGGAAAAACCGGAATTTCTTCAAGTTTTGGCTAATAACAGCTTCTACATTTTTGACTCTCAAATATCTCACCATTTTCCAACAAGCGAACTCTCTCCTCCGGATATTCATTCAGCAGTTTAGAAACATCATCTTTGTGTAAAACAAACACATCCGAGTAGCCAATAGCTCTCAATGATACACTTCTCCGATCTCCAAGCGTATTCCCGGGAACATGAATAACCGAAAGCTCTCCAAATGTGCATCCCTCCTCCAATACATCCAATTCAATGCCAGTTTCATCGTCAATAATTGCTAGTTTGCCTTTTTTCACTATAAACATCTCTTGTGCTAATTCCCCTTTTCGACAAAGATAATCATTTGGAGAGAAGACTTGTTGTTTGACAAGAAGAACGAGTTCATCAATCATCCGTTGTTCACATTTCGAAAAAAGTAACACATGAGATAGGGTTTCTGAGTGGAGGTCGCTGGCGATTTTGGCTTGAATTCGAGGTGGAAGTGAGGAGAGGATTTCCTGGAAGTTTAGATTTTTAGAAAGAAGGGAATCTGAAAAACTTTTCAAGTCAAGAATCTAGTTTCTAAGTTAATTTTGAGCAGAGTTAAGAGTTAAGAGCAGTTGGAGATCGGCTGGCTTGGCGTAACTGTCTCTGCCTTTTTAAAGGCGCATATCTCGCAAACCAGGGAAGATACGAAAAAGTTGTAAATTTGAAAAAATTGTAAAATTTCAAGAGCTACATTTTGTTAGTTAGTTACTTTTTTCTAGTTTCCACCATACCTGAGATATGCGCCTTTAAAAGTTTCAGCTAGCACCAAGTGCGTGGTGACGCGCGTATCTTTAAAGGCGCATATCTCAGAAACCAAAAATGGTACAAAAAAGTTTTTGACAAACAAAATGTGTAAAATATTAAGGGCTAAATTTTTGTAATCAACAATATTTAGAAATCTTTCCAAATAAAAAAGTTATGGAAATTTAAATTTTCAAAGTCACTTTTTTGCAAAATTCGAATTTTTTTTTCAATTAGCTGTCGTAAAAGTTTTAATTCTAGAAATTTCGAAATTTTCTTAATAAAAACTCAACCTTTTTTCTTCTCTTTCATTTTCACAAAATTTTCAAATTTCTAGGTTTACAATAACTTTAATGCTTTTCAGAGTTGGTGAAGACACCCCAGCTTCTCTGCGTATCTTTAAAGGCGCATATCTCAAAAATCGTTAGAGATACCAGACGACAGTTAATTACCAAAATGTAGCCCTTAGAATTTTACATATTTTAATAGTTTCCAAAATTCCAATATCTCTCTTTATTCCCGAGATATGCGCCTTTAAAGTTCAGCTTGCAGAAAGGGGAGGACGCCAGAGTGCATGGTAGTCTGCGTCTCTTTAAAGGCGCATATCTCGAAAACGATAAAAGCTATTGAAAATTAATCAACTAATAAAATGTGTAAAATTAAAAGAGCTATATTTTTGTAATTGATTAAATTTTGATGCCTTACTTTGTTGGTGAGATAATTAGGTCAGAAAAAAAGCATCTCGAATTCTGACTTTTTAAACTTCCTTCGGATTTTTTCGAATAAACTTTTTTATTTGATTAATGATCTGTGTTTTTTTTAGATTTTCTAGATTTCCTTGATTTTCTAGACATTTTAAGCCGAAAATCAAGATTCTAGCTTGATTTTGAGCCAAGTTACAGGATTGAAAAAAAAAACTTTCTCAAAAATTTTTTTCAAATTTCCTAAAACTCACATCCTCTTCATATAATTGATTGTGGCTGTTCAAATAGAGGAAACAGTTCAGCACACGTTCTTGAATTTGCCATTGGACACCTCTGAAATTGAGAAAAAATTGAGAAAAAAACGATATTCGCAAAGGAGCGCGTTTGCTGAGCTCCTCTGTCTGAGCGATGGAGCGCTCTCTCTTCATATGTATACTTTTTAAAGGCGCATATCTCAGAAATGATAAGAGTTATCAGAAAGTTGTTAACTACTAAAATATGTAGAACTTTAAGCGCTATATTTTTGTAGTTGTCTATTTTTTGATAACTTTAGTGCTTTTTGAGATATGCGCCTTTAAAGAGACGCAGACTACCATGCACTCTGGCGTCCCCCCTCCTGCAGCCTGAAAACTTTAAAGGCGCATATCTCAAAAATAGTGAAAGCTATCAAAAAGTTGATAACCATAAAAATGTAGGAAATTTCAAGAAAAACGTTGTAGTTTACTATGTTGTGCTAGCTACACTAGTTGTTGAGGTATGCGCCTTTAAAGAGACGCAGGCAACTAGCTGCTCTGCTACTTCTCAATGGAGTGCACTTCCTCACCTGTAATTCATATAGAACTTGATACCATCCATCATTTCTCGAAATGTGTTCACATTTTGACTCATCTGGGTGACGACACTACCGACTCCTGGAATAATTATTCAAAATTTTTTATTTTTGGCGCCAAAGTTGAAGTTCAAACTCACCTCCAATAATCGTAGCGAACACTAACACTCCAATAAGTGTATCAAAAATTTCAAGAGCATTCTGATAGCTTGACGATGGCCATGGCTGTTGTCCGCATTTTGTGATGGTCAAGGATGACCAATAGAGTGTCATACTGTACTCACGAGAGAAGTTTCCCATTGAGAAGATGTCATACCTGAGAAAATTAAAATTTGAAGACGCATATCTTAAAAACCAGAGGAGCTACCAGAAAGTAGTTAATTACAAAAATAAAGTTCTTAAAATTTTACATATTTCCTTAGTTTATGGTTTTTTGATAGCTTGCACCATTCTGGAGATATGCGCCTTTAAAGCTTTCAGCCTGTGGAAGGATGGATCGCATGGTGGCTGTCGTCGCTTTAAAGGTGCACATCTCAAAAACTTTGAAAGGTATCAAAAAGTTGTAAACTTTCAAAATGTGTAAAATTTAAAGAGCTATATTTTCATAATAATTTATTTTATGACATCTTTAAAGATTCTTGAAATATGCGCCTTTAAAGAGGCGTTCTCCTCTGTTTGCAATTTTAAAACTTTAAAGAAGCGTATCTCACTAGCCAATTGACATTTTAAAATTTGGTCAATTACAAAAATAAAGTTCTTAAAATTTCACATATGTTCTCAGTTTACAACTTTTTGATAGCTTCCTCTATTCTTGAGATATGCGCCTTTAAAGTTTGCAGCCTGCGGAAAGGGGAGGACGCTAGAGCGCATGGTACCTGGCGTCCCTTTAAAGGCGCATATCTCAAAAATAGCAAAGGATATCAAAAAGTTGAAATATTGAAAACTATTATATTTTAGTTGAAAACTATTAAAATATGTAAAATTCAAAGGGCTACATTTTCATAATAAATAATATTTTGATATTTCCAACGATTTTTGAGATATGCGCTTTTAAAGAGGCATCCTCCCATTTCTGCAAGCAGAAAACTTTAAAGGCGCATATCACAAAAACCATGAAAGCTATCTAAAAGTTATAAACTATCAAATTACCCCAAATTTTCAGACAAATATTTTCGCAGTTGACATTTCTTAGCCAGCTCTTTCAACACTCACTTATCCTTCCAAAACTGATACATCTGGTGCATATACTTTGGTCGTTCGTCCCGTATATCCAAAACCTCTTCGTCCTCCGGATACCAACATGATTCGTCGTACAATGCCTGAATATTTAGAAATTAAGGGTCTGACCGCGGTCGGCCGCGGCCGACCGGCCACTTACATCACAACTCGGGAATCTTGGATCGAAAACTTTGTAGTATGAGAATCCAAAAGCATTGGTGTCATCCTCAGTGAGCCCTTCAAATAGGGAGAACAAAAAGTACACACATGCATTCCAATGGAACAGAATTCCACATGCAGTGGTTAAAAATAGGATTTTCATGAAGTGGGGCCAATCCGTACGACGTTGGGTTAAAATGATGAATTCGTAGAGGCGATAGACTGGAAATTCAGGCTTTTTAAGGCTTTTCGGAACCTTCAGACCCCCTAAACTCACTCTTAATCATTCGAAAACCCCTGACAATTGAATATTGACTCCAGAAAAAAAGCACAAAATCCGAAGGAACCAAGCATACCACATCGTAAATTGCTCTTGCGCTCTTTTTATAGTTTTTCAACATTTTCGAAGTGTCCCGAACCTCATTTCCTTCATAGTTGAATGCTGAAATACCTTCCTAATTACAGTTAATTGACTAATTAACACCAACCAAGTCTCGAGCCAATTAAACAATCCAAAATGTAGCAGACATCAAAGAACATGTTGATGTAGAGCCATTGTTTGAAATATCCTAGATGAATATCGTCGAAAATGAAGATGACCATTGCACACATGTTATAAATGATTCCAATTGTGATTAGTGCTGACCAGTAGTAGAAGAATGTCGAGTTTTCGGTGACATAAAAGTAGCGGAGTTGACTGGAATTTTTAGAGTTCTAATAGCTTAATTGGTTCTTGAGATATGCGCCTTTAAAGGTTTAAAGTGGGCGTCTGGGGAAAATAGACCATAACTTTTGTAGTTTTACAGATATTGTAAAATGGTATACCAAAGAAATGTAGCTCTTGAAATTTTACATATTTTGTTAGTTTGTAGCTTTTTGCTAGTTTTTTTCATTCTAGAGTTATGCGCCTTTAAAGTTTGCGGAAGGGGGAGGACGGCAAAGAGCGTGGTGGCTCGCGTCTCTTTAAAGACGCATATCTAGGAGATGAGTGAAGATATCAAAAACGTTTTTTAATAAAACTGTAGCCCTTGAGTTTGTACACAATATCCGATTTACAAAACTTTGGTATCTTGACTGGTTCTCGAGATATGCGTCTTCAAAGTTTTCAGTGCGCTGAAGGGTGTGGAGGTTAGAGCGCATGGTAATCTGCGTTTCTTTAAAGGCGCATAGCTCGGGAACGAAAAGATATATCAAGCTTTTGTAAATTGGAGAATATGCAACTTTTTAAGGGCTATACTTTCACAACAAACCATTTTTGGACATCTCTCAAAATTCTTGAGATATGAGACTTTAAAGAGACGCAGACTACCATGCGCTCCCCCTTCCCTTGGTAGTCTGCGTCTCTTTAAAGGCGCGTACCTCAAGAACAGTATCTTGTATTGAGAAATAGTAAATTACACAAATATAGCTCTTGATATTTCAAATATTTTTCAAATTACAAATTTCAACTAGCTCTTTTTGTTTTGGAGATATGCGCCTTTAAACATTCAGCCTGTAGGAGGTCAGCCATGTTAGTCTGCGTTGGTTTAATAGCGCATATCTCGGGAACTAAAAGAGATATCACAATTTTGTCAATTGTGAAATATGAAAAATTTGAAGGCCTACGTTTTTGTAATAAACTGTTTTTTAATACCTTCAAGGATCCTTGAGATATGCGCCTTTAAAGAAACGCAGACTACAATGCACTCCCCGTCCCTCGGTAGGCTACGTCTCTTTAAAGGCGCATATCTCAAGAACAGTTTGATACATCAAAAAATAGTAAACTACAAAAATATAGCTCTTAAAATTTCTAACATTATGGTATTTAAATATGTTTGTTAAGCTTTTTCTAGTTTTTCGGGAAAATCTCTGAAAATCTAAGACACTCAGAGCGATTTCTAAACATAGGCTAGGGCCTATCAAGTTGGACCTTCAAAACGCTATCAATCGAAAATTCTAGAATATTATAAAACTCACAGCCACTTATCCTTCAAATACTCTTTTGTCTGTGTCCATCCACTCAATCTGGGTACAAAAACCGGCGGTGCCGGAAGAATATCCCCATTCTCTGTTGTGGGCTCTGCATTCGTTGTAGTTCGATCACGTTCCGGCTCAGATTCTCGTTCGTCATGTTCCATCGCGGAAATCCATGTGCGGAGCATCTGGAGCATGTTTTTAGGTACATTTTGTTAGTTTACAAAATCTTAATAGCTATAACCGTTTTTGAGATATGCGCCATTAAAGTCCAGAGAAGCCAGAATGCATAGTTCTCTTTAAAGGCGCATATCTCAAAAACGATAAGAGCTATCAAAAAAATGGTAAACTACAAATTTATTTTTCTTGAAATTTTACACATTTTGTTAGTTTAGAAAATTTTGCTAGCTCTCACCATTCCTGAGATATGCGCCTTTAAAATCCAAGGGGCGAGAAACGAGAGAACCTAACTGTCTGCGTCTCTTTAAAGGCGCATTTCTTAAAAACGGTTAGAGCTATCAAACAACTTTCAACTAACAAAATGTGTAAAGTTTTATGCTTTACATTTTTATAACTGCTAAAATTTTTCTAGCTATCTTAGTTTTTCAGATATCTTAATTTTTCAAAAACTCACTACACAAACTTACTTTTTGGCACACCATTTTGTATACAACGCGTTGTATAGTTGTATTGTAAGATACTGATAACTTATCAGAATTCTGATACAGAATATTTTTGTTATTATTCTACATAACTTTCTAATTTCCTGTCTTCCAAGATACAAGAAATGTGCCAAAAATTGACAAAAAAAAACAATTAATCATGTTATTTCTTGTGATAACTAATACTCTTTCCGATTTTTCCGATTTTTATGAATAACAGTACGAATTATTGTTCAAAATATGTAACATTTTATAGGATATATTTCTGTAGTTCACCAAATTTTGATAGCTTTTCTGGTTCACGAGATATGCGCCTTTAAAGAGACGCAGACACACAGACCTCTCGTTTCCCTGCTTCTCATCTTTAAAGGCGCATATCTCAAAAACGGCAAGAGCTATTGAAAAACTTTCAACTAAAAAAATGTGTAAAATTTAACACTCTTCCTTTTCCAATTTTCAAATTTTCGATAGCTCTTCTAGTTATCGAGTTACGCGGTTTTGAAGCTGTCTAGTGAGACGCAGACAACGAGAGCTCTCTCGTTTCTCTGCGTCTCCCTCTCTCTCCCACTCTCTTACCATTGCCGTTTTTACAACATCGCTAAACGAATTATTTTGTGCAATTTCTTCATTTCTCTTTTTTGCACTTTTTTCAAATTTCAATCGAACTCTTCCTTTATTCGAATCCAACTGTCTCCTCTTGTCCTGGAGTTTGGCCTCCTGAAAGGAAACGGTTAGGCGGGAGTTTTGAATTTTGGGAGTTTTTCAGTTTTCTGAAATTCTCAGAGTATACTAATCCAAACTAGAACTTCATTTTTGTAGTTGACAACTTTTTTCTAGCTATCCTAGTTTTTGAGATATGTGCCTTTAAAAAGGGCAATATGCCCTCTCGAAGGAGGGAGATAGCGTCTCTGCGCCTTTTTAAAGGCGCATATCTCGAAAACTAGACTAGCTAGAAAAAAGTTACCAACTACAAAAATGAAGCTCTAGTCTTGGTTAGTGTACTTTGCAAATTTCAAATAAAACATGTACCTTTGAAATGATTTGCGGGCTTTTCTCTCTAACCATTGCCCATCTTGATGTTTTTAGATGGAATGATGACGTGGCACCGGCCAGAGGATGGCTAGAAGACGTCGATGGGCCTTCACCATAGTCATACGGTAGATCATCATCGTCATCGGTGTCATGGTGTGTATAGTAGGTAGGCTGAAAATAAGGGGAAATCTGATATTATAATTTTCAAAAAAAAAATTTTTTTTAATTTTTTTTTTCTGAAAATCTGAAAAACCAGTCAACCGTTCAGCTGTGAAAAATTCAAGATAGGCGGGATTTTCGATCCCTGACTAGCTGAAAACTTAATTTTCGAAATTCCCCAAAAATGCACATTGCTCATTTCCCTTCCCCCTGAATTTCCATTTTGGCTCATTTTGCAAAATTTCGCAGCTCACTGAATTTCCCCAAATCCTTTAATTAATGTGTATCTAAAAGTGCACCCCTATATCATGAAATTTAGTACCTAGAAGGCTCGAAATATCAAAATTATCACTTTTTCCGGAATGGTTCATTAGAGCGCATTTTCAGAAAAAATTTTTTTTTTAATTTTCAGCATTATTTTATCTGAAAAAAGTGCTCCAGATTTTTTCGAAATTTTCCCAGTGGACTAAACAAAAATAGAGCTTCAATTTTGTAGTTGACAACTTTTTTCTAGCTATTCTAGTTTTTGAGCTATGCGCCTTTAAAGAGACGCATACACCGAGACTCTCTCGTTTCTCTGTGTCTCATCTATAAGACGCATATCTCAAAAACCGAGTTAGATAGAAAAAACTTGTCAACTACAAAACTGTTTATGAAAAAATTTTACGCATTTTTGTAATTTACAACTTTTTGATAGGTACGGCAGTTTTTGAGATATGCGCCTTTAAAGCTGTGTATTACCTCTCTCCGACTCCCAGGCTTTGGGAATTTTGCCTGAAGAACCGGTGCGACGAGTTGTGATGTGGAGAGATAGCTGTTGGAAGTTGATGGACCATCAGAGGACGAAGAAGCAAAGCGTTCCTAGAAATTTTTTGATTTTTAAAATTTCTACAAAATTGCGAATCGATTGATCTAAAAATTAGCTAGATTGGACTGCTAGAAGTGGAGATAAAAGGATTTTAAAATTTCTCGTTTTTAGCGCCAAAAAAACTAGCTCAAATTTTTTAGATCTCTTTCAAATTTTCAGAGTATATTAAACAAAAATAGAGCTTCATTTTTGTAGTTGACAACTTTTTTCTAGTTATTCTAGTTTTCGAGATATGCGCCTTTAAAGACGACGATGCGCGCCTTCAAAGAGGGTGGTAGCGTCTAGGTGTCTGTGTCTCTTTAAAGGCACATATCTCAAAAACTAGAGTAGCTAGAAAAAAGTTGTCAACTACAAAAATGAAGCTCTATTTTTATTCAATATACTCTAAAAATTTCAGCAAAATCGTAATATTTCAAAGCACGTTTTCAGGCATCCAAAAAAGAAAAAATCTGAAAATTTTCAAAAAAAAAAATTTATTGCGAAACTTTTTTGCTAATTTTTTGTTTAGAAAAATAATTTTAAGAAATTTTTAACAGTAAAAATTACCCTATCAGTTGCCTGAGGTATCCATTTCGGTGACTCATTTTCATAATAGTTGGATTCAGAGCGATTTTTGGATTTTCCGAGATTTTTCATTGGAAGAGACATATTTTTCAAAATTTCAGGAAAATAGAAAAATTGGAATTTTCTAGAATTTCCTTTTCTTTTATACTACTGTCATTATCACTATTTTACACATAATTATACCCCTTGATCTGCACTTTTGGCCCCCTTAATCATCAATTTTTCTCTGAAAAATTTCTTATTTTCAGGTGTTTTAATGCCAAAATTTTCAAATCCCATATGGGGACCAAATCTTATCAAGTTTACCGAGAAATTTAGGATTTTTGTGTAAACAAAAAAAAACTGTGTGGGTGTGATAATTTTGTGTTTTGAACCCAAAATTTTGAAGAAGAAAATTACATGTTATTGAAAATATGCAAAAAAAAAATGAGAGGGACCCGTTTTTTGGACCCTGGAAGCTTTGAAAATTGAATTTTTTGTAATTTTAAAATGTTAAAATGATCTACTTAAAATTTCCTATCGATTAATGTAAATTTCATAAGAATTGAGTTTAAAGGGACCAAGCTAAATTTCTGAAAACATGAGAAAAATTTCGAGTGTGGCTTATGTTTAAAAACGCATATCTCAAAAACTACAATAGTTTTAAAAAAGTTGTCAACTACTAAAATGAAGGTCATGTTTGAATTTGTCTATTCTGAAATTTTCAGAAAAATCCAAATAGTATGAAGCACTTTTGAAAATGAGAAAAATTCTGAAAATTAAAAAAAAAATTTTCTCAAGATTTTTTTCGCATTTTTGAAAGTCTGAAAATGTGCTTAATACCATATTGATTTTTTTGAATTTTATTAAGTTTGATCAAACTAAAATAGATCTTTAATTTTTTAGTTGAATACTTTTCTCTAGCTATTCTAGTTTTGGAGATATGTGCCTTTAAAGATGGGGCGTAAGGAATAGGTGGCGTATCGGTGTCTGCGGCTCTTTAAAGGCGCATATCTCGCGAACCAAAATAGATAGAATAAAATTGTCAACTATAGAATTGCTTCAAATAAAATTTTACATATTTTTATAATTTTCAAATTTTTGATAGGTACTGTAGTTTTGGAGATATGCGCCTTTAAAGATGATGCACATATCTCAAAAACGAATTCGTCTTGGCTTCTTCGCCTTTTTAAAGGCGCATATCTCAGAAACTAAATTAGCTAGTAAAAAGTTGTCAACTGCGAAATTGTTTAAAATAAAATTTTACATATTTTATAATTTACAACTTTTTGATAAGTACCGTAGTTTTTGAGATATGCGCCTTTAAAGTTGGCTTCCTCACCTGACCATAATAATAATTCTTCTGTAATTGTGTAAACCAAAATTTCAGATTCTCTTGATAAATCATTAAATATCGAAGTACACCCATATGTCAAAATAGTCATATTATCACAAACTTCCAGTTGAGCGCTAATTCGAAATTTTAGAATCTTTGGAGTGGAAGTCCCGAGTCCCGCCCCTCTCCTTTATCCAAAAATTTGGATTTAAGAGTCAAAATTACCTCTTTTTGAGTGGCAGTTCGGGCTCTTAGGTACCTAACACTTCGATCCTTTCGACTTTTTCGTTTTGGTGGGTCCGGCTCTTCGGGTCCTTCTTCGAAATTGAATGTGGAGAACATTATTTTTTAGAATTTCAAAAGCAAAAAAATATTTTTTGTGTTCTAGAAATTTCTAGAAGCTCTCTAATGATATGTTGTGTAGATGTATATAGAGTGAAAGCTTATAATTCACCCCTCCTCGTGCGAATCCCTCTAGATAATACATATATATTGTGGTCATGACAACGAGAGAAGAATAGGATGGACGAGAGAGTGTGGGGAGGTGGAGAGACGCAGAGAGTTAGAGTGACAATGAATCATAAAGGGCATTGGGATTAGACTTCATTAGTAGTAGCACTAGGTTTTGGGGGGTTGGGACAGACATTTTGAAATATAGAAAAAAAAAACTTTTTGAAGAGGAAATTGGGGGATTAGTGCACTTTTTCAGATATTGGAGAATATGCACTTTCTGTCGGAATTTTGAATTTCTTAGATTTTTGAAGTAAACTTATTCTGAAAATTTGTTAATCTTAAAATTTCCAATCGATTAATACAAAAATGAGCAATATCTGACTGCTAGAACTTGAGATATAAGGATCCATTTTTTCCTCCTACGAACACCTCATTCTTATCCGTCACCGTAGACAGCTTGCAAATGTTGTTCGGTGGCCGAGTGGTGTGTGCGCTTGTCTAGGAATCTGCTTTTGCGGGTTCGAACCCTCTTCGTTTTAAACTTTTGTTTCTGTATAATTTTATCATTTAAAGGTGGGGGGGGGGGGGAATGAAAAAAATAATGTTCTCGAAATTCCGTTCAAAGATGCCCCTCGAGGAGTTGAACTTGTGAGGGCGATGATTGAGGGTGCGGCGCCGCTACCGACTGAGCCACGCGGGCAAAGAGAAAGCGCACGCCCGATTGCATACATAAAGGCGAAGACGACAGCTGTACGCAGAGTGACATTAAGCGTTGTACACCGTCACGGTAGAATGCATACTCTAGATACAAAAAAACTACGAAAAATCTCCTGTCCCCCACCTTTAAAGGGGGAATCCGACCAAAATTTTTTTTGTATTAAAATGTTTCAAAAGTTATCTATTTTTCGATATTATTGCAAAAAAATTCGAAAGAAATCCGAAATCCCCGAAAAACGCCGTTGAAAGTGAAAAAAAATTCAAAAAAGGTGCCGCCGAGGGACGAGGATTTGAATTCCCGCGCAATGAGAAACCTAGTCCACGGCGCCTGATAGCATTGTTTTCAAGTGGCCGACAGTGTTTTTAACGTTTTTTACCTGTCGGAGATAAAAGCGAAAAAAATCCGGAAAAATTATCCGGTAAGAAAGTCGCGCCGCACGCGTGGCCTAGGTTTCTCACTGAAAATCCTCGTCCCTCGGCGACACCTTTTTTTGAATTTTTTCCTTTTCAACGGCGTTTTTCGGGGATTTCGGATTAAAAAAAAAATTTTCGCAATAATATTAGGAAAATAGAAAACTTTTAACACATTTTAATGCAATAAAAAATTTGACCGGAGTCCCCCTTTAATAATTTTTTTTCATTTTTTTAATCACTCTTTTTTGGATTCCTGTACCCGTTGGAAACCACCCTAACATTTTTAAATATTTTTTTCGAATTTTCATAACCTAGAAAACAAGTAGGTCATGACCTAGAAAATAATTAGGTCATGACCTATAAAACAAGATGCTGTAGATGAGGGGATTGACTCATGGGAAGGACATTACCTGTATCTTGGTCTAGACCCCTGGTTCATCTTCCTAGAAGCATAGGGAACAGCGTGGAATGTCCCTCCCTTGAGTCAATCACCTCATCTATCCCTTCCTCTCACCCTCTGTCTCCTTAGAACTTCCATCGATGAGTTATAGATACGTTACTAGGAAGAAGATTTTCCTAGAAAAATGAAGGCATGATAGAAATACAGTAACCGAGAAATTGGTTGTTTTTTAACCTTCTTAAACTCTAGCTAGAATTCATGCAAATTCACTGAAATTTTGAGAATATACTATTAAAAACAAGAGCTCCATTTTTGTAGTTTACAACTTTTTTCTAGCTACCCTAGTTTTCGAGATATGCGCCTTTAAAGAGAAGTTACTCTGAAAAATGTGGTATTTCGGTTTTAATGCGCATATCACAAAAATTAGAAAAGCTAAAAAAAAGTTGTCAACTACAAAAATGAAGCTCTGCTTTTTATTAGTATATATATTGAAATTTTCAGACGATTCTGAAAAGTTTGAATCTGTTTTTAGCTAGCTAAAGCTTCAGAACATTTGACTTTTTTACAAGTCTCATTTTTTAGCTTTTATCAAACACTGTTTTTTGGAATTTGGATTTTTCGACTTTTTTAAAAATTCTTTTCTTATGTGTATTTGTTTTTTCCACAATTTATATCCGTTTAGTCTTCTTTTAGAGCCATATAGGGCTCCGTAGCATAGGGCTCCAACGGCTGAGACCCCGCAAATTCCGGGGAAAGAAAAAACCGGGGAAAAGAATCGGGGAAAAGTGGGCGGAGCCTAAAATGCAACCCTGGAACGGTTTTGCCGCACGGTTTTTCTGCACATTTGGACACGGTCATGAGGGGGCGGAGCCTAAATTGCAACCCTGGCACGGTTTTGTCGCACGGTTTTTCTCGACTCCGCCCACTTTCCCCGGTTTTTTTCCCCGATTTTTTTCCCCCGAACTTGCGGGGTCTCCCAACGGCTTTTTTGCTTTGTGCAAACGCGCCCCATCGCCACGCACTAGAGAGTGAGAGAGTGCCAGACATCGCAGACAGTTTTTAAAATGAAATTTATTCGAAAAAAAAACCTAGATTTTCAGCAATTTCCTCTATTTTTTCAAAGAAAAATTCGTTTAAAAAAATGAAGTTTATGTTTTAATCTATTTTTCAATATCAATTCTCTGAAAATTCAGGTAGTTTCGGGTCAAAATTCGAATTTTTCCAGGGTGATGTATGGATACCTTCGAGAAACCGATGATTCTACAGCAATCAACTATTCGGCATACGGCAAATTTTTGCCAGGAGAAAGTGTGTGAAAAAATACGCATTTTTAAAAACTGAAAATTGCTGAAAAATGCTTGAAAATTGTCTAAAATTCAATTTCAAAGCTTAAAGATTACCAAGAAATTGTTTAGAAGCGAAATTTCGGAATTTTTTAACATCTAAAATCTCAATTTTCAGCCGTTTTCTACCTAAAACTGGCCTAAAAATCGCAAAAAAAGTTTTTTTTCCGAATTTTCCAAAAATTTCCAGACACCGGATTCCAATTGCTCACAATCGGCGCAAAGTTTCTCCGGATTTTTCGAGTGAATCCGTATGTGCTCAAAGAGCCCGGAGAGGATAATGAGGAGTGGCAACAGAAGACAAAACTCGAGTGCATGTTCTCATGTAGGCTGTTGAATAAATGCCAATCGGTTGCAGTCGCCAGAGTTCCACGTAAGTGCTGAAAATGGCTGAAAATGTTGGGAAATGACCTAAAAATAGAGAGAAATCGGGTTAAAATGACCTAGGAGCGGAAATATAACAAAAAATGGTTTTTTAAGCTCAAAATTGGCTGAAAATCTGTTGAAAATAGTGAAAATAACTCAAAAAAAATCGAAAAAATCGAGTTAAAATGACCTAAGAGCGGAAAATCGCGAAAAAAATGGCGAAATTTTGAAAAAAAAAATTTACTGAAGCTTACGGAATTTTTACTGAGGCTTAGGAATTTTTACTGAGGCTTAGGGGAGTTTTACTGAGACTTAGGGAATTTTTACTGAGGCTTAGGGGATTTTTACTGAGGCTTAGGATGTTTTACTGAGGCTTATGGATTTTTCACTGAGGCTTAGGGAATTTTTACTGAGGTTTTGGAATTTTTAAATTTTTTCCTGATAGTGAGACTTGGGATTTTTACTGAGGCTTAGGGGATTTTTACTGAGGCTTAGGATTTTTTACTGAGTCTTAGGAAATTTTAAATGAGACTTAAGGAATTTTTACTGAGGCTTAGGATTTTATTGATTTTTTCGGCTCGAATTTTTTGGATTTTTCTCAATTTGTCTTAAAGTTTCAGGCTTAAAAATTGATTTAAAGTGTGAAATGAAACTTTACTGAGGCTTATAAATTGCTAAGCCTCAGTAAAAAAATCAAAAAGACGTAACTAAGCTTAAATTCAACCTAGAATGCTCATTTGTCCACCGATTTTTCTCGATTTTTTTGCAGAATATCAACGATGAAGATTCGTTTTTCTAAAATATCCAAATTTTTCAGAACTTCCCGACCAGGATTCCATTCTGATGACATTCGACGACGCGAAGCTCTCAATAGTGGCTGTGAATGAGAAAGAGAGAAATATGCAGACAATATCCCTGCATGCCTTTGAGAATGAGTATCTTCGTGATGGATTCACCACATACTTCAATCCACCGATCGTTCGAACCGATCCAGCGAATCGTTGTGCCGCTTCTCTCGTCTACGGGAAGCATATAGCGATTCTTCCGTTTCATGAGAATTCGAAACGAATTTTGAGTTATATTATTCCGTTGAAACAAATCGATCCTCGCCTCGATAATGTTGCGGATATGGTCTTTTTGGAGGGATACTATGAGCCGACCATTCTGTTTTTGTATGAACCACTGCAAACGACACCTGGAAGGTTTGTTTAAGCCATTTTCTGCAATTTTAGACTAATTTAGGGTAGTTAAGGCCGTTTTTTGGTCTATTTCTGATGATTTTGAGCCAAATTCAGACAATTTTAAAGGCGAAAACTCCGAAAAATCGCTTTGAAGTCTATTTCTAGAAACTTCTGGAAGGTTCTGAATATGCTTTTGAATTCCCGCCAAAACTGATAACTCTCAAAATTTGCGTTTTTCGAGCTAAAAACACAGGGAATTTCGAAATTTGAAGTAAAAACCGGAAAAATTCATTAAAATGAGCTCTTGAACGCTAAAAACTTATTTTTCTTCGATTTTTGGCAAAAATTTTAACCTTTTCAGGATTTTCAGCTATTTTTGAAGAATCTTTTTCGATTTTTCCGAATTTTTCGCTCGAAATTTGATGGAACGGTGTTCGTTAGGATTACTGTAGATTACTATAGAAAACTTTGTAGTTTGTAGTCATTTTTGCACTTTGACGTGATTGTGTTTGCGAAAATAGAAACTACAAGATTATCTACAGTAACCTACAGTAATCCTCATGAACATCATCCCGTCCAATTTCAGTCAAAAAATTGGGAAAAATCGAAAAAGAATCTTCAAAAATAGCTGAAAACCCGAAAAAAAACCTAAAAAGCTAGCGAAAAATCGAAGAAAAATCAGTTTTCAGCGTTCAAAAGCTCATTTTTAATGAATTTTTACGGTTTTTAACCCCCAAATTTTGAAATTTCCGTGTTTTTAGCTCGAAAAAGACATAAAATCTGTCTTCCAAGCCCCTGGATTACGGTAGTTACAATTCTGTGCAAATAAATCCGCTAATTTTGGGAGTTTTCCGTTTTGGCGGGAATTCAAGAAGAGATTCCAGAACCATCCAGAAGTTTCCAGAAATGGACTTTGAAGCGATTTTTCGAGGTTTTGCGCCTTTAAAATTGTCCAAATTTGACTCGAAATTATTAGAAATTGACCAAAAAACGGCCTAAGTTAGTCAAAATTAGCCTAAAATTGCAGAAACTGGCTTAATTCTATCCCAAAATTAACCTGGAAAATCAAAAATATGAATTTTCCAGAGCCTGCGTCCGTTACGACACAATGTGCATAATGGGTGTCTCCGTGAACATTGTGGATCGTCAATTCGCAGTTGTCTGGCAGACAGCCAACCTCCCCATGGACTGTAATTCCCTTCTCTCGATTCCCAAACCTCTCGGCGGTGCCGTTGTATTTGGATCCAACACAATTGTCTATCTGAATCAAGCAGTTCCTCCATGTGGCATCGTTCTGAATTCTTGTTACGATGGATTCACGAAATTCCCCCTGAAAGATATGAAACATCTGAAAATGACGCTAGATTGCTCAACTTCTGTGTACATGGAAGATGGTAGAATCGCTGTCGGAAGTCGGGAAGGTGATCTCTACCTCCTTCGCCTCGTCACGTCTTCTGGTGGTGCTACAGTGAAGTCGTTGGAGTTCAGTAAAGTCTGTGATACCTCAATCGCCTTCACCCTCACTGTCTGTGCACCTGGCCACTTGTTCGTAGGCTCCCGACTAGGAGATTCTCAATTGTTGGAGTATACACTTCTGAAGGTCACCAAGGAATCTGCGAAGAAGCAACGGTTGGAGCAACAGAATCCATCGGAGATAGAGCTGGATGAAGATGATATTGAGTTGTATGGAGGAGCGATTGAGATGCAGCAGAATGATGATGATGAGCAAATCTCGGAATCTCTTCAATTCCGAGAACTCGACAGACTTTTAAACGTTGGACCAGTCAAATCAATGTGCTTCGGAAGACCGAACTATATGAGCAATGACCTAATCGATGCGAAAAGAAAGGATCCAGTATTCGATCTAGTTACTGCTAGTGGTCATGGGAAGAATGGAGCCCTGTGTGTGCATCAGAGATCAATGAGACCTGAAATCATCACGAGTTCTTTGCTGGAAGGCGCCGAACAGTTGTGGGCAGTTGGACGGAAGGAAAATGAGTCGCATAAGTATCTAATCGTGTCACGGGTCAGATCCACGTTGATTCTGGAGCTAGGTGAAGAGTTGGTGGAGTTGGAGGAGCAATTGTTTGTGACAAATGAGCCAACGGTTGCTGCGGGAGAGTTGTTACAAGGAGCGTTGGCTGTGCAGGTTTGTTATAGATTCGATTTCAGTAATTTTGGTCGAAAAATCAAGTTTCTAGCTTCATTTTGAAGAAAATTAGTGAATTTTAGTTTTACTGAGGCTTAGAAAACGTTTTACTCCAAAAAATTTCTAATCTTGGTATCAAACGAAGTCTCTCGAAGCTTCTGAATAATTCTGCTAACTTTTCTGATCATTTTGGTAGACAAATCACGTTTCTAGGGCAATTTTGAAGCGAGTTATGGTCAAATCAAGTTTTACTGAAGCCTAGGAGTTTTTACTGAGGCTTAGGAAATTTTTTCTGAGGCTTAGAGAATTTTTACTGAGGCTTAGGAATCTTTACTGAGGCTTAGGATTATTTTACTGAGGCTCAAGGAATTTTTACCGAGGCTTAGGAAATTTTGACTGAAGCTTAGGATTTTAATGATTTATTTGGCTCGAAATTTGTGAGGCTTAGAAAAAAGTTTACTGAGGCTTAGGAGTTTTTACTGAGGCTTAGAAAAAAGTTTACTGAAGCTTAGGATTTTTCACTGAGCCTTAGGATATTTACTGAGGCTTAGGAAATTTTTACTGAGGCCTTCGATTTTTTACTGAAGCTTAGGAATTTTTACTGAGGCTAACTCTCTTCACTTTCAGGTCACATCCACATGCATCGCTCTCGTCACCGATGGCCAACAAATGCAAGAAGTCCACATCGATTCCAATTTCCCAGTAGTCCAAGCCTCCATAGTGGATCCCTACGTGGCAGTACTCACCCAAAACGGGCGGCCTCTTCTCTACGAGCTGGCCATGGAGCCATATGTACATCTTCGCGAAGTCAATGTGAATGAAACTTCGTTTGCCACGTTCTCCGAGCAAATTTCCACCCAGCTGACGTCGGTTTCTATCTATTCTGATGCTTCACAGATTATGAAGAAGAATACGGTAGATGGGAGAGACGAGAAACCTGAAAATGCGGCTGAAAATGGACACCACGTGGCAGTGCCAAAAATCAAGAAGGAGATTCCAGATGACGATGCGATGTTGTACGGCGAAGATGACGATTTTTTGTATGGAGATGCCGAAGAGGATGAGCCGATGGTAGCAGCGGAAAGTGTGTGGATTAAGGATGAGCAATCAGTGTATAAATATCTAATTTTTGAGACAAAATTGAATTTCAAAATCAAATTTGAAGTTTAAGCTGAGCAATCGGTTCTGAATTTCAGGTGGAGAATCTTCGACACGCCTTCAGAATACCCGGAAACGGAAGCGATTGGGACACGATGCGATCATGTCGAGTAGAGGAGGAGAACAGTCGGATGCTATTGATCCAACAAGGACATATTGTAATTATCTAGTTAATTAATTATTTAATTTCTTTAATTTTCAGCCAGCATCACTCATTGGCTAGTCGTTGCTCATGACAACGGACGAATTACGATTCATTCGCTGCCAGATTTGGAGCTGGTTTATCAAATTGGACGATTCTCGAATGTTCCGGAGCTTCTAGTCGATATGACTGTGGAGGAGGAGGAAAAGGAGAAGAAGGCTAAGCAGACGGCAGCACAGGAGAAGGAGAAGGAAACGGAGAAGAAGAAGGATGATGCGAAGAATGAGGAGGATCAAGTGAATTCAGAAATGAAGAAGTTGTGTGAGAAGGTTGTCGAGGCCCAGATTGTTGGTGAGAATTCAAAAATTCATGTTAAGCTAAATTTTCTGCTCAATTTGGTGGCAAGATCATCTTTCTAGCGTAATTTTGAGTCAAGTTATGGTCATTTCAAGTGTTAATGAGGCTTAGGAATCCTAAGCCTCAGTAAAACTTAAATTCTTCATATCTCGGCTCAAAATCAACTTAAAAAACCCGTTTAACAACCAAAATGATAAGGAGAACGAGAAGAATCTTTTAGAGCGAGAATCAAGAGCAGTTCTGAACCTCGTGGTTTAAAATTGGGGCCTAAAATACTCACCTTGAGATTCTCCACTAAATTTCCGTTATTTTTAAACAAAAATCGAATTTCTAGGTCTATTTTGAAGGAAGATATAGGCATTTTAGTTTTTTACTGAGGCTTAGAAATTTTTACTGAGGCTTAGGAATCTTTTACTGAGGCTTAGCAAATTTTACTGAGGCTTAGGATGTTTTACTGAGGCTTAGGAGTTTTTACTCAGGCTAAGGAAATTTGTACTGAGGCTTAGGAAATTTTACTGAGGCTAAAAAAATTCATTTTTTAGTTCTTGAGAATTCTCCGAAATTCTCTTCTAGACTAGAATAATGACGTTGATTTCAAATTAACTAGAAACTTAAGCAGAATCTTACAGTATTCTGAAAACCTCAGGATCCCCATTTTTCTAAAAAAGTGATTTTTCTCCAGGAATGGGAATCAACCAAGCGCACCCAGTGCTCATAGCGATTATCGATGAAGAAGTAGTGTTGTACGAGATGTTTGCCAGCTACAACCCTCAACCTGGCCATCTCGGCGTCGCATTTCGAAAACTTCCACATCTCATCGGTCTCCGAACGTCTCCATATGTGAATATCGATGGGAAACGCGCCCCGTTTGAAATGGAAATGGAACATGGAAAGAGATATACGTTGATTCATCCATTCGAACGAATTTCTTCTATTAATAATGGAGTTATGATTGGTGGAGCCGTTCCGACACTCCTTGTATATGGTGCCTGGGGAGGAATGCAGACCCATCAGATGACAATCGATGGATCCATCAAAGCCTTCACCCCGTTTAACAATGAAAACGTGCTCCATGGATTTGTATATATGACACAACAGAAATCAGAGCTACGAATCGCGAGAATGCATCCGGATTTCGACTACGATATGCCGTATCCTGTCAAAAAGATTGAAGTGGGAAAAACGGTTCATAACGTGAGGTATCTGATGAATTCGGATATCTATGCTGTGGTCTCGTCGGTTCCAAAGCCTAGCAACAAGATTTGGGTGGTTATGAACGATGATAAACAGGAGGAGATTCATGAGAAGGATGAGAATTTTGTGTTGCCAGCACCACCGAAGTATACGTTGAATGTGAGTTTTTACAGAATCCTAGAAGATTCAGCAAACATTCCAAATCGTTTTGGTAGTTGAATCACTTTTCTAGATTCATTTTAAGCCAAGTTATGCCAAATTCAAGTTTCAAATTCGAAAAATCTCATAAATCCGCTTTAAAAGGCGAAATTTAGAATTTCGTCGTAAAATCTAATACATCGCTTCTGTGTTTGCACAGAATTCAACCTACAGTAACCCAGGGGCTTGAAATTCGATTTTAGGGTTAAATTTTGACATTTTTCCCCAAATTTCTGATATTTTTAGCTGTAAATTGCATTTTAGCGTGAAAAATGGCCCTAACATCGACATTCTCGTTCTAGGATTACTGTAACTTGAATTCCTGTGGAAACATCTAACCACTGCATTTTTTTTTTCGCTGAAAATTCAAATTTTGTCGTCAATTTTGATACATCAACGTGGTGTTTGCACAGAATTGTAACTACCGTAATCCAGGAGCTTGAAATTCGGTTTTAGGTGATTTTTACGCTAAAAACATGGAAAATTTCATTGAAAATGAGCTTTTTAACGCTAAAAATGTATTTTTCTTCGATACTTTGCAGATATTTTAGACCTTTTTAGGGTTTTCAGCTATTTTTGAAGATTCTTTCTCGATTTTTCCCAATTTTTTGTCGGAAGTTTGACTTTTCAGGATGATGTACGCGAAGATTACTGTAGATTACTGTAAAGAATCTTGTAGTTTGTAGTCTCATTTTGCAAAAAAAAAAAAGAAACTACAAACTACAAGATTTTCTACAGTAACCTACAGTCATCTTCTGGAACATCATCCCATCAAACTTCAAACAAAAAATTGGGAAAAATAAAAATAGAATCTTCAAAAATAGCTGAAAACCCTAAAATGGTCTAAAAATTTCTCAAAAAATCGAATAGAAAAATATATTTTTGATGTATTTTTCCGGTTTTTCCCTTAAATTCCGAAAATTTCCACGTTTTTAACGCGAAAAGCACATAAAATCGATTTTCCAAGAATAGGTTCCTCTATGTTTTCCGATCAGTTTGGTGGTAAAACCAGTTTTCTTGCATAATTTTAGACCAAGTTATGGTCAATTCAAATTTTACTGAGGCTTAGGAATCCTAAGCCTCAGTGAAATTTGAAGCTCCCGTAACTCGCTTCAAAATCAACCTAGAAGTCTGATGTTACGACCAAAACGACTGGAAAAAAGCTGATAAACACATTTTCAGACTATCTAGCAAGGTTCTTCTAGATTTTCTGACCAGTTTTGTGGGTAAATCAACTTCCTAGCGTCATTTTACACCAAGTTATGGTCAAATCAAGTTTTACTGAGGCTTAGATATCCTAAGCCTCAGTAAAAAAAATTTTCAACAAAAAATCATATTTCCAGCTCTTCTCCTCGCAAGACTGGGCAGCCGTCCCCAATACCGAATTCGAATTTGAGGATATGGAAGCGGTGACAGCAATGGAAGACGTCCCACTGAAATCTGAATCGCGTTACGGTGGCCTAGACACTTATTTGGCACTAGCTACAGTTAATAATTATGGAGAGGAGGTGTTGGTTAGAGGACGAATCATTCTTTGCGAAGTGATTGAAGTCGTTCCGGAGCCAGGTCAACCAACGTCGAATCGAAAGATCAAAGTGCTGTATGATAAGGAGCAGAAGGGTCCGGTGACTGGATTGTGTGCGATTAACGGTCTTTTGTTGTCCGGAATGGGACAGAAGGTGTTCATTTGGCAGTTTAAGGATAATGATTTGATGGGAATCTCGTTTTTGGACATGCACTATTATGTCTATCAGCTACACTCTATCAGAACGATTGCTTTGGCTTTGGATGCGAGAGAAAGTATGTCGCTGATTCGATTCCAAGAGGAGAATAAGGCAATGTCGATTGCGTCGAGGGATGATAGAAAATGTGCACAGGCACCCATGGCATCAGAATTCTTAGTTGATGGAATGCACATTGGATTCTTGTTGAGTGATGAGCATGGCAATATCACACTGTTCAGTTACTCCCCAGAAGCGCCTGAGTCGAATGGAGGAGAACGGTTGACAGTGAAGGCGGCGATTAATATCGGAACCAATATTAACGCGTTTTTGAGGGTTAAAGGTAAGAGCATTTGCTAGACTTCTGGGTCACTTTTGAGCCAGTTTCAGCTCTGAAACTTTGTACTCATTCTCCATATTTGGTTGTGGGCGGGGTTTTTGAGTGAATTGCAGTCATTTTGGTCCAAAATTCAGGTTTCTAGCTCAAATTTGAAAGAAGTTATGATGCTTTTTAGTTTTACTGAGGCTTAGGCATTTTTACTGAGGCTTAGGAACTTTTACTGAGGCTTAGGATTTGTTATCCTAAGTTTTTTTTCTCTAAAAGATTCTCCCCGTTCTCCTTATCATTTTGGTTGTTGAACGGGCTTTTTAGGTTGAGTTTGAGCCGAGATATTAATAGTTTAAGTTTTACTGAGGATTAAGATTTATAAGCCTCAGTAAAAGATTCCTAAGCCTCAGTAAAAAAATCCTAAGCCTCAGTACAATTCCTAAGCCTCATCAAAAATTTCTTACGCCTCAGTAAAACTTCTTAGCCTTAGTAAAACTTTTCCTAAGCCTCAGTAAAACTTCCTAAGTCTCAGTAAAACTTTCCTAAGCCTCAGTCAAAATTCCTAAGCCTCAGTAAATAATCCCAAGCCTCAGTAAAAATTCCTAAACCTCAGTAAGAAATCCTAAGCCTCAGCAAAATTTTCTAAGCCTCAGTAAAATATTCCTAAGCCTCAGTAAAAATCCTAAGCCTCAGTAAAACATTCCTAAGCCACAGTAAAATTTTCTAAGCCTCAGTAAAAATTCCTAAGCCTCAGTAAAATTTAAAACTCCCGTAACTCGCTTTAAAATTGACCTAGAAACTTGATTTTTGCTGTAAAATGACTATAATCAATTGTATTATTCCAGGCCACACCTCCCTGCTAGACAGCTCCTCGCCAGAAGAGCGTGAGAATATCGAGCAACGAATGAATACGATATTTGGCTCCCTAGACGGCTCATTCGGCTACATTCGTCCTCTAACCGAGAAATCCTATCGACGTCTTCATTTCCTCCAAACGTTCATCGGAAGTGTCACTCCTCAAATCGCCGGACTACACATTAAAGGCGCACGCTCGTCAAAACCATCCCAGCCGATTGTCAACGGGCGGAACGCGCGGAATCTGATTGACGGAGACGTCGTTGAGCAATATTTGCATTTGTCGGTGTACGATAAGACGGATTTGGCGAGACGGTTGGGTGTGGGAAGATACCATATTCTTGATGATCTGATGCAATTGAGACGAATGGCATACTATTATTAGAATACCGGTGTTCTTTTATTTATTTTGTTCTTTTTCTATGTTTTTCTGATTGTTTCGCAACCTTTTGGTTGTGAAAATGTGCATTTTTAATGAGCTATGGATATCTTGAGACTAAAAAATTGGTTTATAATAATGAAGGACCTTAGATTTGGTTCAAAAATCAGAAAATTCGATCAAAAATCGATTTTTCCTGAATTTTTGTTTTAATCTCGAATTATTAGGCCATTCCAGTCACTTTTTTGTTGCGAAACGGCCCCCCCCCCCCCACCTGATCCCATTTCCCATGTTCTCCATCCCTGTTCGAATTTTCTTATACACATTCTTCTCTTTTATCGGATAGTTCAATGAATTTTGTCAATTTTCATATATAATTATATGTATTTTTAATATAATTATTGTTATTTTGCCATGCTGAAAACTAATTTTCAGCGCATTTCCTATTTTATTGATGTTCTAGTCGTTTTTCTGATCAGTTTAGTGGTTAAACGGGCCTTTTGGGTTGATTCTAAGCCACATGTGACAGTTTTAAGTTTTGTTTGGCTTAGAAATCCTTAGCCTCAGTAAAAAAAATTTTTCGATTTTATTTTGACAACATTCTTCTCCCTTTTTTTATCATTTTGGTAGGACAAGGATAATACTAGCATCATTTTAAACCGAGTTATAACAAATTCAAGTTTTACTGAGGCTCATTTTTCCTAAACCTCAGTAAAACTTCAAAAATCAATAACTCGGCTGAAAATGCACCTAGAAAGCTCATTTTTCGCTTTAAAAAACCTGGAATTTTCTGTTTAAAAAGCCTGGAGAACGATGAATTCAATGTTCTTCTCGTTTTTCTGATCATTTTGGTGGTTGAATCAGCGTCCTGGCATCATTTAAGATTTAGAAATCCTAAGCCTCAGTAAAATTTTTTTCGATTTTTTCGAAAAAAACATTTTTTTGCAAGAAAAAAGATGATCAAGTTCACTTTTCGAATGAAATCATAGTTTGTGGGTGATTCGAATCAAATTTTCGGATCAATCTCGAAAAAACCGAAATTCGCCCTGATCCGTCGGAGAGATTTCGCCGAAAAAGATCGACCTCATTTTTTTGGCTTTCCTTTTAATTTTCTTCCTCCTTTTCATTCGATTTCTGATCATTGAAGCGTATAAAACACCAAAACAGAGTTTTTCTCCCGCTTTTTCTCTGTTTTTGGAGCCCAAAAATCCCTGGAAAAAGTGTGCGGCGAGAGTTGCGAAATTCAGGCTCCGCCCCTTTTTGCGCCAAAAACATGCGGATTTTGCAATTTATGTTGTGTGTTTTGGTTGGTTGAAAAGAGATAGGAAGCAGTTGTTTCAAGACTAAAACACAGAAAATCCCGAATGATTTATTTTTGGAATCCTCTTTTTTCCTTATCAAACTTCAAAAAAAAATGAAAAAGAGAAAGCGAGGGAGAGAGAGAAAGAGAGAGAGAGTGAAAAGAAAATTAGATATTTAAAGAAAAATAAATAATAAAGAAAGTGAGAAAATAGAGATGAACGAGGAGAGAGAGGAATACTTGTGGTTTTCGCCGTTTTTTCATCCCGAAAAATCAATTTTTTGAAGGAAAAAAAATTGTTTTTTAAATGAATTTTGACCTCGAAAAATCGATTTTTAGCTTTGGAAACTCCATATTTTTGACTGAAAACTTTTTTAAAACTATTTTTATCCCGAAAAATCAATTTTTGAAAGAACAAATTCGTTTTTTTTTTTGAAGAGTTTTGACCTCAAAATGCATTTTTTCGAGTTAAAAAATACAATTTTCAAGCTTACACACATCAGAATTCCGACGAATTTTTTCATAGAATTTTGACCTCAAAAACCGATTTTTAGCTTTAAAAACTCCATATTTTTGACTAGAAACTTGATTTTAAGCGGGAAAAATCGATTTTAGCTGTAAAATTTCCAATTTTTCTAGTAAAAATGCAGTTTTTAAGCTCAAAAAATCGAAATTTCGTTCAATTTTCACTATTTTTTACGATTTTCCTCTCATTTTTCACCTTATTTTATCTAAAAATCGAATTTCCAGAGCCTCTTATGATCATCTTCAATTGACCGCATATCCAAACATTCAAAATGACGACGATGACGAATCCGCCGCCGAAAAGTTAGCGAAAAAATACGGAAAAAACCAAGAATTCACTTTTTTCAGGAGACCCAAAAGAGCCGACGCCGTTGGTGCTGATGCATCCCGAGTTGCGCGTTCGCCAACTTCGCTATGCGGCCAATATTGATGCGAGTCAGATGGTTCCACTTCATCGGTAAGAGATTCTGCAAAAAATTCCAGAAAAATCGGTGGAAAAATGAGCGTTCTAGGTGGATTTTGAGCCGAGTTATCGATTTTTGAAGTTTTACTGAAGCTTAGGATTTCTAAGCCTCAGTAAATTGAATTTTTACTGAGGCTAAAGATTTCTAAGCCTCAGTAAAGTGGATGTTTACTGAGGTTAAGAGAATTTTTACTGAGGCTGAGGAATTTTTTACTGAGGCTTAGGAATTAGTACTGAGGCTTAGGAAGTTTTACTGAGGCTAAGGAATTTTTACTGAGGGTTAGGAATTTTCACTGAGGCTAAGGAATTGTTACTGAGGCTAAGAAATGTTTACTGAGGCTAAGGAAGTTTTACTGAGGCTAAGGATTGATAAGCCTCAGTAAAGCTCAGTTTTACTGAGGCTTAGGATTTCTAAGCCTCAGTAAAATCTCCTTTTTACTGAGGCTTAGAAAACTTGGAAAAAATTTTAAAGATTAAAAAAAAATTTTTTTTTTGAATTTTTTACTTTTTTCGGTCTTTTTTCTGCTAAAATGGCTGAAAATAAAATAAAAAATCATCAAAAATATTTTTTATTTCCAAAAAATGCTATTCCAGATACTACGAAGTGCTACTGGATCTATCCCAAATGGGCCTGGAATATCTGAAAGCGATGAAATTGGAGCGCGCATTCATCATTTTCAAACGAATCGAGTACTTTTTGTTCCACCGTCTCAACGATCACATCGGCGTCAGCACATTCTCATCAATCGCCAAGAATAAGATAATGGCTCGGATCCCGATGATCATGTTCGTGGCTCAACAGATTATCATCGATTTCGTAATGCCTGTTTACGAGCGACAGGCCGCCTACTTCCGCTACGAGGAGCTCCAACGTCGTCTACGCATTCTGAATGCGCCAGCGTGGCAAAGTATCCGTGTGGAAGCTGCCAGAAGAGAGGCGGAGTTTTATAAAGAGGCAGAGTCGATTTCCACGAGGTTCGGAGTGGAATTGGCGAGTTTTCTACCGCAAGAAGTGATTCCCGATGACAATCACCCTTCGAATTTCCCTCCTAGAACTCATCTAGCGTCTGCCAGGAAATCAGACGTCACAGTGGAGAATGCCATTCAGGCAGCTATCGATGCCATGAATCAGAGTCTAGAGAAGCCACAAGAGTTCATTGGAGGGCAGACTGGAGAGCAGCATGTCGATGTATTGATTAGGAATGTGAATTCTATGATGAACGATGCCCTGAGCAACTTTTTCCGAATCCGGGGCCTTGGAGCACAACCATATTCTTCTGTGAATCACACAAGAGCAGACGCAATAGAAGCTCAGGTGGTTCCAGATCAAGCGGAACGCCGGAACACCTATTCTCCTACGGTAGATCATATGTATCGGATGCCACCGATTCGGCCGATGACTAGCAATCCAGCCTATGTGGAGACAGCTCCAGCTGAGACTAAGAAGAACCCTTTGGAATACAATCCATCGCTCTCCCTAGACACCTACATCGATTTGCTACAGAAGACGTTCGATAAGAATTCCAAGTCTGTCACCGGATATCGTGTGATGCAGAAACAAACTGTGACAGCTACCACCAGAAGTCTAGCCGGTGGATATATGATGCATTTGGTGTCAATCGCCTCCCTGCCACCCGGCTATCCAATGAATGAGACAGATGAAGTGAGCTTCCCAGGAATCCGGCGAATCGCTGCGGCTAGTGGAGTCTACCCGGAGCCGGATCCAGGACGTCCGAGAGTGGAACCACCTACGAAGCCAATGGCGAAGAGCCCGGAAGCTGGAGTGTCATTTGGAGTATGGGAGAAACGAGGATCGGCGTGTGGTCCAAGTGGTGTTGGGAGTCTTGGAGTGCTCTCGGATCTGGATAGGGCGAGGGAGGTTTTGGATGGAGCACCCCCGATGCCACCGGCGATCAATAAAGTTGGAGCTGGTCTCCCTGGAGCTGGCCATGGGCAGGGACAGAGCTCTCGCCAGGTTAAGAAGAGACCCTCGATGCAAGGAGGAAGTAGCAAGGAGGACTACTCGAAACGATACTCCATGGGTGATGGCGTTTTTAAGGTTTGTAGCAACCCTTTTGGACGGATTATTCTGATTTTTGGGGATATTTAGTGAGTTGGAGGAGTTTTTGACCATTTTTTTGAAGTTTTGGCATCAAAATCTGTAGCAAAATGTGTAGATTCATAGCACAACCTCGAACATTCGCTTCTAGAAGGTTCTGGAAGCACCAAAAAACGCTTCAAAAAGGCCTGAAAATCATAAAGATAGGCTCAAAAAAGCTCCAAAAGGTCCCTAAAAAAGGCCCAAAAAAGCTTCAAAAAAGCTCCAAAACAGCCCCAAAAAGCCCTAAAAATTCTAAAAATAGGCCTAAAAAAGCTCCAAAAAGCTCAAAAAATCTCCTAAAAAGCCCTGAAAATCTAGAAAATAGGCCCAAAAAAGCCCTAAAAATCCTAATAATAGGCCCAAAAAAGCTCCAAAAAGCCCGAAACAGTCCCAAAAAGCCCTAAAAATTCTAAAAATAAGCCCAAAAAAGCTCAAAAAATCTCCCAAAAAGCCCCAAAAAGCCCTGAAAATCTTGAGAATAGCCCAAAAAAAGCTCCAAAAAGCACTAAAAATCCTAAAAATATACTTTTTTTGGGCATTTTAATGCCCAAAAAAAGTTTTCTTCCCTAAATTATAATTTTTTAAAAATATTTTCAGCATCCCGGAAATCCAGGAACCAGTGGCTATTGATATGATCACCCGCACATGTACATTTCAAATTTATCTTCAAAAATGAATAATTTCTCGATCTTTCACACACAAAAAACCCCCCAAATGCTCTCGATCTGATAATGTTCCTTATATTCTTTCCCATTGTAGCAGTGCATAATTTTCACTTTTCCTCCAATTTTTCCCCTAAAAATGATTCAATTTGTCATATTTTCCTATCATAATGATGCCATTTTCACATTCTCTCTCATGTTCATAATTCGTCGTCGTCTAGTTTTGAAGAATTTCCCGATTTTTATAGTTTTATACCTGTGTATCTTATATTTTTCCGCTATTTTTTAAATTTTTTCAATTCGGGTTGTGATATTTTTGAGAGATTTGATTTTTATTGCATTTTTAACTACTGAAAAGAATCGCCAATTCATGATTTTCTGTAATCTTTGAACCATCGGTTTTCTATTCAGAAAAACCCTTTGAATATTTGTTTTTCTCTGATCGCTTCAAGACCATTTTTTTCTAATTTTCATCAAAACTTCAAAAAACTCATTTTCTCGATTTTTCCCTTTTTTTTAATTGAAAATTTTAATTTTCCTGAAAAATATCATCGAAGCGGTTCGGTAGATCAAAAACTAAATACGTTTTCCGGCTTTTTTAGCGAAAATTCCAAGTTTTTGGGAGAAAAATGAGCTTTCTAGGTGAATTCTCAGCCGAGTTATTGATTTTTAAAGTTTTACTGAGGCTTAAGATTCTTTAGCCCCAGTAAAATCTATTTCTACTGAGGCTTAGGATTCATACTCCTCAGTAAAGTTCAATTTTACTGAGGATTAGAAAACTTGTAAAAAATTCTGATTTTCTGAAAAAAAAGTTCGCAAAAAACGGATTTTTACTGAGGCTTAGAAATACATAGCCTCAGTAAAGTTTCATTTTACTGAGGCTTAGAAAACTTGGAAAAAATTCTGATTTTTTTTTAATTTTTTATTTTCTCGGTCGTTTTTCCTTTGAAAATAGCCTATTTTCTCGATTTTTTTCCCCTTTTTTTTCAAATTAAAAATGTAATTTTTGATTCAGATGGAAACCAGACGCCGTTCCGCACGTCTCCAACTTCAAACCCAAAATTCTCAAAACGTCGATTCACCGCCGATTGTCGCCGTCGAACAGCCGAAAAAGCCACGTGGCAAGGCGAAGAAAAATGAGGAGGTTTATATTTATGTGTACCTAAAGAAAGGACCATCTTATTGCGGTGGCCTAGAAAACCGAAAAAGTTAGGCCACATGTGTTTTTGCATTTTTGTATAGAAAAACAGCTCGAAAAGTACTTTTTTCTAATTTTTAGTGGTAAAAAGGCCAGAATTTGTATGAAGTTTGATTCCGAAACCACAGGAAATTTGAATTTCCGGTGCAAAAATAGTGAAAATATCAAATTTCCAGAAACCTCCAATGGCAGCAAAGGCAGCACCGAAAAAGAGACCAAGAGCACCTCCAAAACGCAGGGACTCTCCGACTCCAGAAGATCTAGAAGACGTCGTTGAGAACATTCAGAAGGATTTTAGTGTCCTAAAAAAGCACGCATTATCCGAATCGAGTAGTTCGGAAGATGAGGATCCTGTTTCAACGTCAAAAATTGCTCAAAAACGAGTCAAAAAGACGTCAAAATCTCCAGAAGACGTTCCAGAAGATTCTTATGCCGAAGAGCCGGCTAAAAATAAAGAATCCGACGACGATGTGGAAATCGACACTGCAGAAGCAGCTTCAGAATCTTCAAAAACGAATAAGAAGGTCCAGAAAGCTCCAGATGCTCCAATAGCTCCAAAATCCATGTCATCTCGTTTTTCAAAAATGGCTCCAAAATTAGCTAGAAGTCTCCAGAAGACGTCAAAATCTCCAGAGGACCTTCCAGAAGAATCTGATGCAGAAGAGCCGGCTAAAAATGAAGAATCAGACGATGAAATGGAAATCGACGACTCCGATGCTCCAGCGGCTTCAAAACCGACAAAATCGAATAAAAATGGCTCTGGAGCTCCAAAAAGAGCCCAGAAAGCTGCAGATGCTCCAAAATCCACGTCATCTCGTCCTCGCCGCTCGATCACCACCTCTAGACGCGTCTCCTATGTTCCCAAAGACCACCTTGCTGGGATTGAAGAGATGTCTTCTTCGTCGTCCGATGAAGCCAGCGATTCAGATGACGTCATGGATTCAGAAGAGCCAAAGAAGGAACTGAAGCGTCTAGGATCCAGAATTCAGCAGAAGGGAGTGCCGAAAAAAAGATCGAAAGCCTTCAAAATCGAGTCGGAGGAGTCGTCCAGCGATTCTTATGAGTCTGGGGAGTCTGAGGAATCTGAAAACGACGATTCAGAAGACGTTGGAGGTCCAGGACCATCCTCTAAAGCGTATTCTAGATCTCATCCAGCCAAGAAGGGCAGATTTGGGGGAAGTAAGGGCAAGAGCAGCAAGTCCAAGGGATCCGACCAAAAAGACGCGCACTGGCCGAAATGCTCCAAAGCCTCCATCGCTAGAAAAACAGGAAATCCAAAGAACTCGAAAAATGTGAAATCCGGACTTCGTATGGCGGTGAAACAGAAGCCACCACAACCATGGAAGAAGAATCTGGCCAACTACGAAGCGGATCGAAAGCTGGCGAAGGGAGAACGTCGTATGCTGGAGTATCGTGTCGTTGCTCATGCCTATGCACGTGGAAAAGTAGAAGAGGTCTCTTATGATGAGTGTTTTAAGATTCATGAGAATATGAAGAAGGCGTACTTCGAGGGCAGGAAGATTATCGATGCATTGGAACCCGAGAAATTGGGTGGTGGAGCTGATAAGAAGCACAAAAAACACGAGTCCCAGCAAAAGGAAGACTCATCTGACGGTCAAGAGTCTTCTGAAGACGAATGGGAGGAGATGGAGCACTTCCATCCGGTCCTTGATGAGAATATCGAGGTTAGCATTGATCACGAAGCGAATGGAGAAGATGGAGAGGGGGAGGAAGGTGTTGAGAAGGATTGGTGGGTCGTATATCTCAGACAAGAGGTCAATAGGAAAATTCGAGACGCTTGGGAGAATACGCACAAGGTTTGTTGAGTCATTTCAGTACAAAAATCAGATTTCTAGGTTGATTTTGAAGCGAGTTACGGGAGTTTTAAATTTTACTGAGGCTTTGAGATTTTCACTGAGGCTTAGAGATTTTTTACTGAGGCTTAGGAAAGTTTTATTGAGGATTAGGAAGTTTTTACTGAGGCTTAGAAAATGTTTTCTGAGGGTTAGGATTTTTACTGAGGCTTAGGAATTTTTTTCCTGAGGCTTAGAGATTTTTTACTGAGGCTTAGGAATTTTTACCGAGGCTTATGCTTTTCCAGGTGTATTCTTAGCAGAAACTAATGAATATTGCTGAAAAATGGCTGAAAATCGGCTTTAACAATCAGTTAAAACCCCCAAAAGGCTTTATAAGAGTCTAGAATGACCAAAAAGTTCAAATAACGGTCTGGAAACGTACAAAATGACCATAAATCGGTATAAAATAGCCAAAAATTCGTTTGAAATCGAGCTAAATAGGTCTAAACTGCCGATAGAATAATTTTCTCAACTTTATTCTTTTTTTCTATTTAAGGGTAAAAACCCGAGCTGAAAATGTACAAACACCGAATGATTTTAAAATGGCTATGAATCGATATAAAATAGACAAGAAATAACATAAAATTGGTCTAAATTGTCTATTCCAGGTGCATCTCCTGTGTTACATGGCTCATCTCAAACAAGTGGTTAAAACAGCTCTCGACGAGAGTCTAGTCCCCTCCCTAATGATGTCCCAACTTCCAAACGGCTACCTCAAATACACTGGAGAAATCATTCCGATCGATGTGATGACCAATCTGGTGAAGTGGTACACCGACGCGTTCCGCCCACTCAACGGAGTTATCTCTGTGGCTGCTATCGAACAGGACTTGTCCGATGGACACGAAGCCAGATTCCCCGAAACGACTCGTTTGACAGCACTGGTCAATGGAAAATGCTACGAGACTGATCTGGATAGAGCCACACTACTGTTCTGCTTGCTGCGCGGTCTAGAAGCCACGTGTCGAATTGTGGTGAATGCGAGAACGATTCCAAGACGATGGGATAAGAATCAGCAGAAGGAGTTGCAGAAGGAGATGGATAAATTTAGAGAGCTGAGTAGGTCGAGAAGTCAGACGCCGAAGGACGAGGAGCCATCCACGTCATCGGATTCTAAGAAGGCTAAAGCCAAAAAAGCAAAGAAGGAAGAACGAAACTATTGGGTGGAATACTGGCAGCCGTTCGAGAAGCGTTGGATTTGCATTGATCCTTTGCACAAAACGGTTGATGAGCCGCTGACAATCCACGTGGATTCCACTAGTCCCATTTCCTATGTCTTTGGCATTGATCATAGTGAGTAGGAAGACTTTAGGAGCATTTTTGGCTTGAAAATGGCTTCAATATTCATTTTCTAGCCATTTTTAGGCATTTTTGAAACCAAAATGTGTAGATTCGTATAACAAAATGTCCATTTATGGTCGTCCATACCTCATTTCAGGCCATTTGCCAGTTTTTGGGTCATTTCAGGCCATTTGCCAGTTTTTATTTTTGGCTATTTCCAGTTCATTTCGACCAGTAAAAACCAATCCGTGTAGCCCTCGTGGACGAACATTTTCACCGGTTTCAAATTTACGCTAACCACACACTTGATGTTGACCGATTTTAAGCTATTTTCAGCGATTTTTGCCCTTATTAAGGCTATTTTCATTCAATTTCAACTCTTTTTGATGCTAATTTTGTGTGGCAAAAATCCAAAAATCAGCGGATTTTTTTGGGATTTTTCGAAAGCAAAATTGATTTTCTCTCCGATTTTTCGCGAAATTTTTGAAGGTGGTGTGCGGTGAAAAATTTTATTTCTTTATTTTGTGCAGAAATCCATGTAGATTCCCATAAAAATGAAGAAAAAAATTCGAAAAAAATTCCATCATTGAGAAAAACGGCATCGAAAAGTCAAAGTGGGAACCGGTGGCCTAGCGGCCAGGTGCCAATTTTCTAGGCCAACTGCCGGTAAAAGCGCGCGAAATTCGACTTCTTATTGATTTTCAGTATTTTCTCTGATGTTTTTCTAAGATCTCAAAATGTTTTTGTTAATTTCCTTGCAGGTGTATGAAAATACCTGTCAAAAATCAGATAAAACACTGAAAATCAATAAAAATTCGAATTTCGCGCGCTTTTACCGGAAGTTGGCCTAGAAAACTCACACCTGGCCGCTAGGCCACCGGTTCCCACTTTGACTTTTCGATGCCGTTTTTCTCAATGAAGGAATTTTTTTGAATTTTTTCTTTATTTTTATGGGAATTTACATGAATTTCTGCACAAAATAAAGCAATAGAATTTTTCACCGCACACCACCTTTAAACCTTTTTAAGCTTTTCAGCTATTTTTGAAGATTCTTTTTCCGAATTATTTGTCTGAAATTTGACGGAGTGATATTCGCGAAGATTACTGTAGATTACTGTAGAAAAGAAAATCTTGTAGTTTGTAGTTTATTTTTTTAGAAATACAATCACGTCAAAATGCGGATTGTGTTTGCAAGAAAAAAACTACAAACTACACGATTTTCTACAGTAACCCTACAGTAATCTTCGCGAATTTCAGATTAATTTCAGACGAAAAGTTCGGAAAAATCGAAAAAGAATCTTCAAAAATAGCTGAAACCCCTAAAAAGGTCTAAAAATGACGCGAAAAATCTGAGGAAAAAACTAATTTTGCTTTCGAAAATTCGCAAAAAAATCCGCTGATTTTTGGAATTTTCTGCACAAAATTAGCATAAAAAAGAGCTGAAATTGGCTGAAAATAGGCTTAAAAACTGCGAAAAATCGCTGAAAATAGCTTAAAATCGGTGAAAATCGGTGTGTGGTTACTGTAAATTTGAAACCAGTGAATATTTTCGTCCACGAGGAGTACACGGATTGGTTTTTCTGAAAATTGCTCTGAAATGGCTTAAAACAGGGCTCTAACCTAGGAATTTTAAAATTTCGATCCTTAAAATTTGCAGGATACGGCATCTGTGAGCTCTCCCAACGCTATGCGATGGATTGCGTCAAACAAGAATTCCGACGTCGTCGTTGTGATCCCAAATGGCTTGCCTGGACCCTTTGCTCCACCCATTCGCCGCAAACGCTGAACGAGCGAAGTGGGAAGCAATGCAGCTACGAGAGGAGCTGGTGAAAAGACCCCTACCAACGACGATGAGTGAATTCAAGAATCATCCGTTATATGTACTGGAAAAGGATCTTCTGAAGTTTGAAGCCATCTATCCGCCACCGAAAAGCCAGAATCCGTTGGGACAGATTCGTGGACACAACGTCTATCCGAGATCGTGTGTTTTTACACTTCAGGGAGAGAATAATTGGTTGAAGCTGGCGAGAAGTGTAAAGATCGGAGAGGAACCGTATAAGGTGGTCAAGGCGCGTCCGAATCCGAAAATTCCGGTTGAAGATCGTGAGGATCAGTTTTTGAATGTCTATGGATACTGGCAAACGGAGGAGTACAGAAGACCAGCATTGAAGAATGTGGGTTTTTTGAAAAATGCTGAAAATTCCAGTCATTTTGGTCTAAAAACCAGGTTTCTAGGTCAATTTTGAAGGATGTTATGACGATTTTTAGTCTTTACTGAGGCTTACGATTTTTACTGAGGCTAGGAATTTTCACTGAGGCTTACGATTTTAACTGAGGCTTATGAAGGTATACGGATGCTTAGAAGATTTTTACTGAGGTTTAGGAATTTTTACTGAGGCTTAGGAAAAGTTTTACTGAGGCTCAGAGCATTTTTTACTGAGGCTTAGGATTTTTCACTGAGGCTTAGGAATGTTTTTACTGAGGCTTAGGAAAGTTTTACTAATTGTAATGCTTAGAAAATTTTACTGAGGCTTAGGATTTTTACTGAGGCTTAGAGATTTTTAATAAGGCTCATTAATTTTTACTGAGGCTTAGGATTTTTCACTGAGGCTTAGGATTTTTCACTGAGGCTTAGGAAAGTTTTACTAATTGTAAGGCTTAGAAAATTTTACTGAGGCTTAGGATTTTTACTGAGGCTTAGAGATTTTTAATAAGGCTTAGAAATTTTTACTGAGGCTTAGAGATTTTTAATAAGGCTTAGAAATTTTTACTGAGGCTTAGGATTTTTCACTGAGGCTTAGGATTTTTCACTGAGGCTTAGGAAAGTTTTACTAATTGTAAGGCTTAGAAAATTTTACTGAGGCTTAGGATTTTTACTGAGGCTTAGAGATTTTTAATAAGGCTTAGAAATTTTTACTGAGGCTTAGAGATTTTTAATAAGGCTTAGAAATTTTTACTGAGGCTTAGGATTTTTCACTGAGGCTTAGGATTTTTCACTGAGGCTTAGGAAAGTTTTACTAATTGTAAGGCTTAGAAAATTTTACTGAGGCTTAGGATTTTTACTGAGGCTTAGAGATTTTTAATAAGGCTTAGAAATTTTTACTGAGGCTTAGAGATTTTTAATAAGGCTTAGAAATTTTTACTGAGGCTTAGGATTTTTCACTGAGGCTTAGGATTTTTCACTGAGGCTTAGGAAAGTTTTACTAATTGTAAGGCTTAGAAAATTTTACTGAGGCTTAGGATTTTTACTGAGGCTTAGAGATTTTTAATAAGGCTTAGAAATTTTTACTGAGGCTTAGAGATTTTTAATAAGGCTTAGAAATTTTTACTGAGGCTTAGGATTTTTCACTGAGGCTTAGGATTTTTCACTGAGGCTTAGGAAAGTTTTACTAATTGTAAGGCTTAGAAATTTTTACTGAGGCTTAGAGATTTTTAATAAGGCTTAGGAATTTTTACTGAGGCTCAGGATTATTTTACTAATGTAAGGCTTAGAAAATTTTTGAAAAAAAAAGTGTTTTGTGATTTTTTTAGCGGTTTTTAGGCTATTTTGAGACATTTATCAGTGATTTTTGACCGATTTTTGAGCCATTTCTACGATTTTTAGGCGTATTTTAAGCGATTTTCCACATATTTCAATTTCCAGGGCAAAATTCCGCACAACGACTACGGTAATGTGTACATGTTCCAACCGAACATGTGTCCGTTGGAATGTGTTCATTTGAAGCTACCAGGATTGGTTCAATTGAGTCGAAAACTCAATAAACAGTGTGTGCCTGCTGTCGTCGGATGGGCGTTCGATGGTGGATTCACGCATCCGGTGTAAGCGAATTTTTTGGGATTTTAAGGGCTAGATTGTCGATCTTGGGGGTCTGAGCGCTTCAATTTGGTGCCAAGTTTGCCCTTTTTGGGCTCTTGAACGATGAAAAATCTCCAACTTTTTCGATTCTGCGGGTTTCAGAGCTTCAATTTGGCGCCCATTTTGTCCTTTTTTAGATTCTTAAAATCTGAAAGATATATGAGGGTATATCGAAATTCGAATTTCCCGCCTTCAACTTGGCTTGGCGGGAATTCAAATTTTCGAAATCCAGAATTCAAGTTTTGACACTTCTAGATGGATTTTCAGCTATTTTCAGCTGTCTGAAACGTTTAAAACTGACTAAAAATCGATTTTGAGAACTTTAAATCTTCACTTATGGGACTGACGCCTAAAAATCTGTAATTTTCCAGAATCGACGGTGCAATTGTTCTGGAAAAAGACGCCGCGTTATTCCGTCGTGAATGGGAGAAACTGGAAGAAGGAAAGGCTGAAAGAGAGGAGAATGCACGTGTCGAGAGGATTCATGAGAATTGGAAGAAGCTGATCAAAGGAATGCTTCGTTTGAATTATGTCAGGAAGCAGTTTGGACACAATCATCCACAGAATCCGGAGAAGAAGAAGAAGACGTCGGAGAAGAAGAGGCAGGATGTGGGAGACATGGAAATGGATTCAGATGATGGAGGAGCTGGACCATCGGAGCCACCACCGCGTCATGAGATTATTGATAATTCGGAGAAGATTGGACCGCTTGCCGGATTCTCGTTGGACGATTTTATCAATAAGAAGAAGTGAAAAGCGATTTTTAAGCCTATTTCTGAGCTTTTTCTGTCAAAAATCACAAATTTTCAAGCTCTATTTGTATAGAACTACCTTTTTTTTTTAAACCCTAAAACCTCTTTTTTCTCTCTTTTTTGTTGTAAAAAAAATACCCGATTTGGTCAGAAATTTGGCAATTTTCGGTCTATTTTTGGACTTCAGCCAAAAAAAATCAAAATTTCCAGAATTTGGAGCCTTTTTTCTTGAAAATTCAGCCGAAAAAATCGAAATTTCCAGAATTTTTGAGCATTTTGAGCTCTATTTTTTCGAATTCTAGTCCACAAAAAATTCAAAAATTCTAGGTTTTTTGGACATTTTTGTTTTCTATTTTTTTGAAAGTTTTCCTGAAAATCCACCTGAAAAAAATCAAAATATCCAGAATTTCCAAAATTTTGGCTTCATTTGTTCTTATAAATTCTGGAAATCCAGACGAAAAAAAAATCTAATTTTATAGAATTTTTGAGCATTTTTTTCCCATTTTTAAAGCCAAAAAAACCCTGTTTGTTCTTCAAATTTACTCCCTCTTTCCTCCAATAATTGTTGCAAAAATTTACCCAATTTTTTGTTTTTTTCCCTTTTTTAATACCATTTTTTCATTTTTTTTTTCTGCTGAAAATCTGAAAATTTCAGCTACATAATGTATCCTTTTTTATACACTACCCCTTTTGTTGTAATTTCTTCTTTTTCCCCTTCTTTTTTTTACCGAAATTCAGAAAATCTTGAACTTTCGGTACTTCTAGCCAATTTTCCTCGTTTTTTACCGATTTTTTTGTAATTTCCTAGACTACAAACTACACGTTTTGCTTCAAAATCTATCCCGACGATCTTACCCCCTTTTTTAATCGAAATTTTTGTATTATACGGATCTCTATTCATATCCCCCCCCCCCACACCTCACTTTTCGAATTCTCATAATCAGTGATTATCAATCACCGTAATCTCATTCAAATTCAACAGTTTTATCGCTCTCCTTACCTCCCTTTAAAGCTTTCCCCTCAATTCAAAAAATCTCATTATCCCCAATTTGTTTTCTGAAAAATCTCAAAAATTATAGATTTCTGGTTGCTTTCCCTCCATTTTCACAAAATCTCACTATCCCATTTTTGTCTGAAAATCTGGAAAATTCCACATTTCTTTATTGAGATTATCATCCCGAATGTTGCTCTCATTTTTGTTCACCAACTGAAAAGCATGATTTGAACAAAAAATGAATACTGTCAAATGTGATTTCCTTTATTTTTGAAAAATTAATTTATTGGTCGCAAATCCATAGAAATTCTCTAAATTGAAAATTGCTTTATAATCTGAAAACCCCCCCCCCCCCTTAATTTTCATGAAAAAAATCTATAAAAATCGATTTTTTATGCCTAATTAAGGTAAATTTAAAAATTTCGATTTTCGAATTTTTCGGTTTCAAACAAATAATTATATTTCTAAAATTTGAATTTTGAGCCACTTAGTTTTCCCATCTGAAAAACCTGAAATTTGTTCCAGACCTCCCTAGCGGGGGTATCCTTAATGTCATCAAACCCCAACTGGTGGCCCTACCGTATCCCCATCGAAGAAGCGCTCAAAAAATCGGTAGTTCTGGTGATCGGCGTCGTTGTCGGCGCGAATGTCATTGAGCATTTTTACAAGCCTATGGAAACATACGAAGCCGAGCTGGATAAGGGAAAATTGGAATTGCTCCAGAAGTATAAACGCATTCATGATGAGAGAACAGCCTCAGGAGGAGGGGGCGGAGCCAAGAATCAGTGAAAAAGATCAGTATGGGGAATCGTCGGATTCGGATGATGGAGGCGGTGGTGTTAATGAATTCAAAGCGGTTTTTAAGAGATATAAGAAACGAAGGCCATGGCCTGATTTTTCGGATGTTATAGGTAATTTTAGAAAATCGATTTTTTGAAAAATTAAAAAAAAATTTTTTTTATAAATTTGAAAAATTTTTAAAAAAAATCAAAATTTAAAAATTTCGTTAAATTACGAAAAGAAACATTTTTAACTGAACAATTAAATTTGCAAATTTTCGAATTTCAGGTTTTTTGAAATTTTTGGAAAAAACGGATTTTTGAATTTTTTGGAAAAAAGAAAATTTTGAATTGGGCGGAAATTCCAGGAAATTGAGAAATTGAGAAATTCAGTAATTCAAAACATTCAGAAATTCAAAATTTCGAAATTCAGAAAGCGGTCCAAATTTCAAATTTCTGGGGAAGTCGGAAAATCGAATTTCGGAAAACTATCTTTTTAAACAAAATTTGCAAATTTGAAACACATTTTTTTAAAGTTGAAAATCGAAAATTAATTTTATGAAAAATTCAAAATTCTACAAAAATCGATATTTTCAGACATCAAAACGTCGCCACTGCTCCAATCCAGACTTGTCTTCTCCTCCCCAAATGAAATTTCGCCTGAAAAAGCTGAATTAGCTGAAAATCTGGGTCTAATCCATCCGTCCGAATGGCGTGTCTACTCATTTCCCGATCGAATCGGCCTCTATTTACTTCCGGGTCTTTTGAAAAAGCAAAATTCGGGAATGTGGCTGAAACGAGCGTTCAGCTATGCGAAACCGCCGAATATCACTAATTTGACGATTCATGGGAAGGATGTGGAGACGTAAGACTTGGGAGAAGATTCGCCTGAAAATTGGCGTCATTTTGGCACAAAAATCATGATTCTAGCTCGATTTTGAGCTGAGTTACGGCTCTCCGAAATTTTACTGAGGCTTAGGATTGCTAAGCCTCAGTAAAATCTTCCTAAGCCTCAGTAAAAATTCCCAAACCTCACTGAAAATTTTCTAAGTCTCATTAATATATTACTAAGCCTCAGTAGAAATTCCTAAGCTTCAGTAAAACTCCCTAAGCCTCAGTAAAATTGCTAAGCCTCAGTAAAAATTAAAATTGCCATAACTTTGTTCAAAATTGGCCTAGAAACGTGATTTTTGGACCAAAATAACTGGAAAAATCAGTAAATTCAGAATTTCCTAAGCCTCAGTGAAAATCAATCCCAATTTTTCAGTGATCCCTCCCTCCTGACCAAGGCTCTCCGATGGACGACGTTGGGTGTTGAATACGACTGGAACACGAAGAAGTATCCAGAAAACGGGCGGCCCGTTCCAGACGAGCTCTTTCAGTTGGGAAATGTTAGTTTTTTCTGGAATTTTAGACAATTTTCTGAAAAATCGATAATTTGAAAATTGGAAAAATTTATAATTTTTTGAAAATTTTTGAAATTTTTGAAAAACAATTTTTTTTTAAATTTTCTCAAAAATTGAATTTTCAGCTTATCAGTAATTCGCTGAAACTGGGCGATATGCGTCCGGACGCCACGATCCTCAACTATTATCCGCCAAAGTCTGCACTATCGCCGCATGTTGATAAGTGAGTTTTTCTTATTCAGGTAGAGACTTGGCGGGAATTCAAAAATTTTGAAAAATTCGAAAAATATTTTTTTTTCAATTTTCAGAAAAATAGCGAAAATTCAAAATTTTGACAAATTTTCCAGATCCGAACGCTCCAACGCGCCTTTGATCTCAATGTCACTGGGTCAAACAGCCGTCTACCTGTCTGGAGCACTCTCCCTATCCGAACCGCCCATTCCGTTATGGCTGAGCAATGGGGATTTTTTGATAATGCACGGAGAGCAACGATTGGTCTATCACGCGATTCCTTGCATTGGACCGAAAGTCAAACCGGTGCATTTCGATAAGGATGAGCAATCTCCAATGATTTCCGATTATTTGAACTGCAGCCGAATCAATTTCACCATTCGACAAGTCAATCCTTAGTTGTTTTTTTGGTTTTTTTTCTTTTTTAATGAATTGTTGTTTCTGGTTTTTTGAATTCATATAAATATTTGCTTTTCTTGAAATTTTCTTAAAATTCGACTCAATTTTTTTTTCAATTTTCTAAAACTAAATTCTGGCTTCAAAATCAGTTTGTTATTCAGGCCATAACTTTTTTCAAACAAGAGATTTAAGCTTGAAAATTTGTAGTATAGCTTAAAATAATGCTTGAAACATTTTGGTAAAAGAAAAACGAAAAAAAGTTTTTTTTTGAGATTTTTGAAAAAATTCCGAAAAATTAAAAAAAATTTTTTTTTTTGTAAAAATGTTAGAAATTCAATTTTAAAGCGAATGGTGCAAATTTCAGACATAGATTTTTTCTCTGAAAGAAGTTATGGACAGAAATCTGGAAAAATATACTTAATTCTTCATAATTTTGTTTAAACAAGAGATTTTCGACAAAAAAATACGAAAAAAACATTAAAAAAAACTTTTTTATTTAATCAAAAAACACAAATAAAAACAGAATTTGTAGTCGTCTCTCTTTCTCTGAAATTCTCGAAAAATCCACGTGGATCCTGTCCTCTCACTTTCTTCCAAGCCCCTTGTAATAGGGGAATGCCGACTTGTAGTTGCGGAGGCGGCGAAGGGATCCTGAAAAACATATTTTTTGAAGAATTCAGAATTTTTAGAATTTAGCGCTAATTTCAAGAATTTTCAACAAAAAAAAACAACGCTGAAAATCGGGATTTTTCGAAAATTTGGCTGAAAATTCAAATTTTAAAGGAATTCGAACTTCCCGCGCGCTCAGAAACTTAAAATAATCGGAAAATAAGAAGCTAAAATTCCAGAATTTTCAAAAAAAAAACTGGGAAAATCGCAATTTTTAGGAAAATTGAGGAAAAATTTTGCGCTAATTATCGGAATCTTCGAAAAAAAAACGCTAAAATAGGAATTTTTCGAAAACTTGTACGAAGAGTTAATTTGTTTCAGCAAATTTAAAATTCCCGCGCGCTCAGAGACCGAAATTTCAGATTTTTCAAAAAAAAAAAAAACTAAAAAATTCAAAATTACCGCCGCCCCCTCCACACTCACTCAAATCCCTGTAGAGGCTTTCGCGCTCCTCCGCACTCGGCACGTAGTACTCGACGTCGACACCTCCTGCATCTCCCCCAGAATTTCGCCACGTGTCAGCGTTGTTTGCTGAAGCAGAATCTTCAGGAACACTCTGTTCGGTGGTTGGAATTAGCAGTAGAGCGAGAATGCAGATGTGCGTGCAGGAGAGCATCTGGAAAATGGGCGTTTTGATTTGGCGCGAATTCAAAAATTTCAAAAAAAAACGATGAAAATTGAAGGAAATTCGTGGAGAATAACGGTTAAAATCCTAAGCCTCAGTAAAAATTTCTAAGCCTCAGTAAAAAATCCTAAGCCTCAGTAAAACTAAAAATTGTTATAACTTTCTTCAAAATTGACCTAGAAAACTTGATTTTGGTACCAAAATTTCTGGAAAAATTTGTAGAATATTTTTTTGTAAAACTTTAATTTGGAAGAAAAAAAGAATCAAAATTAAACAAAAAAGAAATTTTCAGTCTATTCATTTTATCTCAGTCTATTCATAGATCTGGAAGCCTTTAATTATGTATTTATATTAATAGGAAAAACACATTTTCATCTGTCTTTTATTTTTTCAATTATTCTGAATGACGGTAGACGATACATCACCTGAATCGGTTCTTTGAATTTTTCGGAATTTTCAAAAGTTTCAAAAAAATTGAATTCTGAAGTTTGAAGACAAAAAAATCTAAAAATCGCATTTTTTGTAATTTTCAGAAATCACCTAGAAATTGTATTTTGTCTCAATTTTTCAATTTTCATGGATTTTGAGGAGAAATCTGAAATTCGATTTTTTCAAATATTTACCCAAAAATGGACAAACCCCCAAATTTTATGAAAATGCTGAAATTTTTTTTGAAAAATACAAATCACATGTTTAGAAAAAATCTGAAAATTCTTCTGAAAATACGTCAATCTGGAAGAAAGAGGAGAAAATGGCCCAAGAATATGTGAAAAATGTCTATATTTATATAAAATGTCTATATCACTAACTTTCTCAATTATTCTGAAAATGACAGATATGACACTAACATGAAAAAAAATATGGAGAAATATATTTTCTGGAAAAAACAGAAAAAAAGGATCGATGACCATTTTTAGTGGTTGTGATCATGATGACGTTTCATAAAAAGAGGCGGAGCCTCAGGACTGGACAAACAGGCACACAGACGGATAGAACACAAACACTCGGACCGTCCACTTTGAGCCTATATATCTCACTTCTTTTGGAAGATATAAAAAAATTGTCGACTGATAAAATGTTTATCATGATATCAGCAACACTTTATCAGTTGACCTAATTTTGGTATCTTGCCTAGGAACCGAGATAGGCCACAAGGAGATAGACACCTCTCGCTCCTCTGCGCCCTCTCGCTCTCCTGCCTCGTCAAACTTTAAAGGCGCATATCTTGCTTCAAATTTTAGCTATGAAAATAAAAATTACACAGTTTTATAGCAAATTGAAAGGGCTTTCTGTTGATATTTATATTTCTACAATTCATATTTTGATTTTCAGAGAAATCTGCATTTTAGCCAAGTTATATGCTATTTAAGGTGACAAATTTGAAAGTTTCAACTTTTAAATCGTCAACTTTGAGCTTATATATCTCAATTCCTGTGAAAGATATCAAATGGTTGTCCACTAATAAATTGTTAATCATGATACCAGCAACATTTTATCAGTTGATCACTTTTTGATATCTTTTACAAGAACCGAGATATGTGAGCTCAAATTTGACGATGATTCGGGCGGCGTTCTATTAGAGTGTTTACGGTATATTTTTTCGAAAAAAAAAATTAAAAAATGCTTTTTTGGAATGCTCAGAATTTCTGAAAAAAAAACAAGGAGATTCTACAAAATGAGATCGTTCTTAATCCGATCAATCTGATTTTTGAAAAAAGCTAAAATTTAAAAAGAATTTCAAAAAAAAATTTTTTTTTTGAAAATTCTCTTTTTTTAGAATTTTTCAGAATTTGCTGAAACAAAAAACAAGGGGATTCTACAAAATGAGATCGTTCTTAATCCAATTCCAAAACTCCAAAAAAAAAATGGAAGAATGAAAAGTCCAAAGGAAAAAAAAATGAATATTCATTAGAATGTGTATTCTTACGACGTCTTCTACTTCTACTTTTTTCATCAGAATTTCAGAAAAGAGTAAAGTTTGTTGGTCTTGTCTCTCGTGGAATAAGAAATTTTCAAAAATTGCGGGAAAGAAAAGTTGAAACCTAAATATTTACTACTGTTATATTTTATGCAGGAGCAGCGTAGGTGAAGAATAAGAAGACGTGGGAAGAGAAGAAGAAGAATGTGTACTTTTTACTTAAAGGTTCAAAGATCGGGAAGTTTAAACACTCTAATAGAACGCTACCCGAATCATCGTAAAATTTGAGCCCATGTATCTCATTTTCTGTGAGAGACATCAAAAAGTGGTTAACTAGTAAACTTTTGCTGATATCATGATGAACATTTTATTAGTTGACAACATTTTGATATCTCTTATAGGAAGTGATATAAACTGAGTCAAAGTTGAAAAAACTGAAATAGCCTATAACTTGTCTAAAATGCAGATTTCTCTAAAAATCAAAATGTAAATTGTAAAAATATGAATATCAACAGAAAGCCCTTTAAATTTCCTATGAAACTGTATAATCTTTGTTTTTATAGGTAAAGTTCAAAGCAAGATATGCGCCTTTAAAGTCGGCGAGATGAGAGAGCAAGAGGGCACAGAGACGCGAGAGGTGTCTATCTCCTTGTGGCCTATCTCTGTTCCTAGGCAATATATCAAAATTTTGTTTACTAAAAAAATATTGCTGATATCATGATAAACATTTTATCAGTTAACAAAATTTTGATATCTTTTTTAGGAAACGAGATAATGAATCTCAAAGTTGACGATTTGAAAGTTGATGGCTTTCCCTCATGCTACTCCCATTTTTGTTAATTTAGGCCTATTTTTGATTATTTTTGATGATTTTTATCAATTTTGTGACAATTTTTGGATAATTCCAGTCATTTCAAGCTATTGTAAGAAGGGTGAGGATTACTGTAAGAGGCTGAATGTGGAGGGGTACTGGAGAGATTAGAAGCGAGAGGTGTATATTTCCTTGTGGCTTATCTCGGTCCCTAGCCAAGATTTCAAAAATCTGTCAATTGATAAAATTTTGGAAATATCATGAGAAACATTTTATCAGTTGACCACTTTTTGATATCTTTTAAAAGAAATGAGATATATGAGCTCAAAGTTTCTGGTAGGAACTGGCTTGTTGCTCTCTCGCATCGTCGAATTTAAAGGCGCATAACTTGCTTCAAACTCAACTTGGAAACATGAAAGTTATACAGTTTTATAGGAAATTTGAAGGGCTTTTTGGTAAAATACATTTTTACAAAATTTAAAATTTGATTTACAGTTATGAGCTATATGTATTTGTTGAAAAAGATTGTTTTTTTGGAAAATTTTGAAAAACTGCAAATTGAAGATTCTAGCTAGAAAAAGAAAATTTGCAGTGCTCAAGTTTGAAAAAAAAATACAGAATTGAAAACACAATAATTAGGAATCTCGAAAGTTATGATTTTTGAAAATTTCAAAAAAAATTGTTTTTCGAAAACTAAAAATTTTGGAAATTTCTGAAAAAAAGAGCCTAAAAATAACCCGGAAAACTTTGAAATAACTAGATTATAATATATTTTCTTTCGGAAGAAAACGAAAAAAAAACTAATAAGTTTCTCTTTTTTTACAAATAATCTAATTATTTTTTTTTCATTATTTCAAAAGAAACCCAACTTTTTTCTTTCTTTTTTCTTATGGATCTATATTATGGGGTGGATATATGGTACTAAAAAATGACACTAAGATGACTTTTCAGAAAATGTGAGGAGCTGGAAAAAAAGGAAAAAAAAAAGAAATTTTTAGATTTTTTATTCAAATGAGATACATGGGAAATGACGTTGTGGAGAACTATGTAAATTGGATGAATTAATTAAGCTGAGCAATCTTTTTATTAGTCACTTCCGGAGATTTCGGAAGCTACGCGAAGAAACCTGAAAAAATTGGAAAATTTGGAAAAAAAAATTTTTTTTCAAAAAAATTGGATTTTGCAAATGTTGAAAATTCTGAATTGATGAAATTTTCGAAATTTGGGAAGATTCTGAAAATAATTTTTGAAAAACTAGACGAAAGAAAAAATTTATTCTGAAATTTGAAGAAATCCAGAAGTCGAAACATGGAGATCCCAAAAGTACAGTAACCTGCAAAAAAAAAATTTTAAGAATTAATAGAAAAAAAATGTACAGTAGTTTTCCAAAATTCGAAGCCAAAAACCAAATTTCTAGGGCAATTTTGAAGAAAAGTTACAATAAGTTTTAGTTTTTTCAGTGATAAAAGTTCTGGAAATGTCTGAAATTTAGTAAAACTTTAAAAATGATTAAATTCAAATTGATAATCTTTTTTTTCTCACAAAATTTCTATTATTTTAGTACAAACATCGATTTTCTAGGGCAATTTTGAAGAAAGTTAGGATAGTTTTAGTTTTACTGAGGCTTAGGATTTCTAAGCCTCAGTAAAAAATTTTTTTTCGAAATCTTCAGATATGTTGAAAACTTCAGAAACTTCTGGAAATTCAACATTCAAAAATTTAGGATTTTTATAAATATTTTAAAAATTAAAAATAAAATAAAAAAAGAAGAAAAAAAGTTTTTTAAAAAATTTAAAAATTTTAAAAAGCGAGAATTCACAATTTCGGAATTTTTTAAAAATCAGTTTCTCAACTTTTTCAAAAAAAAAGAAAGTTTTTCAAAGTCTTAATGTTAAAAAAAATCCTTCAAAATGGGATTTTTGCAAATTTCGATTTATTTTTCCAAAATTTTCGAATTTTCGAAAATCTGAACTTTCTGAAAATTTGCCTCATTTAAGGCTAAGAACAATAAATCTGCACTCATAGTGTACTCTGTGTGCACCCAGCACCCCACACGTGCAATTTCTGATTTCTCTATCTGTCTAAATCTCTTCTTTCCCTACTCTCTCGCCCGAGATTTGACCCCAAAAGTGCGCCAAATTCATTGTATTTCGTTTATTTCCGATTTTAAAAATTATTTCTCAAATTTCGCGCCAAACGGCACCCCAGCTATCATCATCTTCATGATAACAAACCACAAAACAATCACAATTGACCACAAGAAATTCTATCTTCTTCTTCTTTTTTTTTTCTCTGCGTCTAACTATCTCTATGTGTCCGAATGATGACAATTTATCAGTGAACATATACATCAGCCATATCATCGTTATCACTGATACAAATAATAATTGATTAGAAAAATAAGAGAGAATTTTTTGGATTTTTGATGATTTTTTAAATTGTTTTTATGAATTTTGGATTTTGTTGTAGTGGTTTTTCGTTTTTTTTTGAAGAATCTAGAGGTTTCTATTAATTAGGTCTTAAGATATTTAATTTTCGAAAAATGTTGATTTAAAAAAACTGGTTTTGCAGAATTTTTAGTTTAAAATTTGGCCAAAAATCAGATTTTCTTATTTTTTCTCGAATGAATTTTTTGAGATTTAAAAAATTTATTTAAATCGAAATTTAAAAAAATATATAATTAAGAATAATTTTAAAAAATATTTTTAAAATTTAAAAAAAAAATATGTTTTGATCTACAAAATTTTTATTTCCGAATTTCAGCCGAAATTTCGATTTCTAGAAAAACAATTTTAATTAATTTCCTAATTATTTTTTTATTAATTTTAATCTACCAATCCGCTCTTTTCATTTTTTTTCTAAAATTTTTTTTTCTAAATTTTCAAAAATTTGATTTTCGGAAACCTTGATTTTGTATAAAATTTTTGTTCTATTCCTACTCTCCTTCCTATTCCCCCGTTCTTTTTTCCCATTCCATTCCCCTATTTTCTAGAAACTTCCAGACTCCGCCCTATTTACCATGTCTCTCGGATTCGCCATCGATCGTGGTGGCACCTTCACGGATGTCATCGTTTTCAAGCCAAACGAAGAGGTGGAAGTTCTAAAAGTGCTCTCTGTGGACCCATCGAACTATGCCGACGCTCCAACTGAAGCGATTCGACAGGTTTTGGAACGAGAATCTGGGAAGAAGATTTCACGGGGAATACCGTTGCCAACAGGTTAGTAGTAGTCCACTTTGAGCTCAATTATTTGGATTCCCGTTGAAGATATGAAAAAGTTGTCAACTGATAAAAATCTTATCATAATGTTAGCTACATTTTATCAGTTGACAAAGTTCTGATATCTTTTACAGGAACCAAGATAATTGAGCTCAAAGTTTACGGTAGGGGTGGGCTTCTATTTTAGAGGTTGCGACCGCGACGCAGCCGCAACGCCTGGTTCAAAGGATTTTCAAGCTATAACGTCTTTAAAAAGTCTTGAAGATGCCTAAAACAGCTTAAAATGACTTAAACAGGTCTACCATAGTCTGAAATGCTTCGAAATTAATCTAAAATATCGTCCAAAATGATTACCCATGCCCTACAGTACCCCTTTGTCTTCAGCCTCCTACAGTAATCCTCATTTTTCTTACAATAGCTTAAAATGGCTGAATTATTTAAAAATTGTCACAAAATTGATAAAAATCATCAAAAATAATCAAAAATAGGCCTAAATTAACAAAAATGGGAGTAGCATGAGGGAAAGCCATCAACTTTCAAATCGTCAACTTTGTACCTAATTATCTCGATTCCTTTGAAAGATATCAAAGTTTTGTCAACTGATAAAATGTAGCTGATAATATGATAAACATTTCATTAGTTAAATACATTTGATATCTTAATTAGGAACCGAGATAGGCCACTAGGAGATAGACAACTCTCACTTTCTCGCATCGCCGACTTTAAAGGCGCATAACTTGCTTCAAACTCAACTTACTAGAAACAGACTTACTTAGAAACTTTACTTAGAAACATCGAAAATACACAATTTAGTAGAAAATGTTAAGGGCTTTTTGGTGATTTTTATATTTCTACAATTCACATTGCGATTAATAAAGAAATTCTCATTTTTGGTGTTAAAGGGGGGGGGGACATGAAAAAAAAAATAATGTTCTCGAAATTTCGTTTAAATATGCCCCTCGAGGAGTTGAACGTGTGGGTCGAGGATTGAGGGTGCGGCGCTGCTACCGACTGAGCTACATGGGCAAAGAGAAAGCGGTCGTCCGATTGCATACATAAAGGCGAGGACGACAGCTGTACGCAGAGTGGCGTTAAGCGTTGTACACCGTCACGGTAGAATGCATACCCTAGCTACAAAAATCCCCCGTAAAATCTCCTGTCCCCCAACCTTTAAAGAAATTTTCACCGAGTTATAAGCTTTTTGAGTTTCTTTAATTTTAAGCTTAATTATCTCATTTCTTTTAAAAGATATCAAAAATTTGTTAACTAATAAAATGTTTATCATAATATCAGTTACATTTTATTAGTTAACAAATTTTTGACGTCGTTCACAGGAAGCGAGATAAATTGGCTCAAAGTTGGCGGTAGGGATGGACTTGTTACTCTTTCGCATCCCCCAATTTAAAGGCGCATAACTCGCTTCAAACTCAACCTGAAACTTTGAAAATTACACAGAGTTATAGGAAATTTAAAGGGTTTTCTGATGATGTACATATTTGCTATTCCAGAATCAATCTCATGGATCCGTATGGGTACAACTGTTGCAACCAACGCTTTACTGGAACGAAAGGGCGAACGGATTGGCCTATTGATAACGAAAGGATTCAAAGATTTGTTATTTATCGGAAATCAGTCTCGTCCCAAAATTTTTGATTTCGATATACAAATCCCTGAAGTACTGTATGAAGATGTGATTGAGGTTGATGAACGAGTACTGATTCTGGAGCAAACGAAGGAATTGGTGGGAGATGACGTGGCAATTAAGACGGCGATCAATGGAATGAAAGTGGTTGTGGAGAAGAGAGTGGACGAGGAGGAGTTGAAACAGAATTTGAAGAGTTTGAAGAAAAAGGGAATCAAGAGCGTTGCGGTGCTGTTTTTGCACAGTTTTATGTGAGTTTTTTTTCAAAAACTTTGACGTCTTCTAAATTCTGAAAACGCAACTTTCTGAGATTTCCATGTTGCTAACTCTCTTTTCCATGTGATTTCCGTCATTTTGATACCCACATTGCCCTAGTTTGTTGAGATTCTGAACTTTTGACGTCTTCTGAATTCTGAATTCACTTCAAACTTCAAACTTGGTCGATATGGGTATCAAAATGACAGAAATTTCATGGGAAAAAGAGTTAACGTCGTGAAAGTTTCAGAAATTTGCGTTTCCAGAATTCAGAAGACGTCAAAATTCAAATCTCACCAAACTAGGTCGATATGGGTATCAAAATGATGGAAATCACATGAAAACGAGAGCTAACGCAATGAATCTGATTGAAGATTGCTTATTCCAGCTACCCGACCCACGAAAAACGTGTTGGCGCCATTGCCAAGGCTTCTGGATTCGACTACGTCTCGCTATCCCACGAGGTGATGCCAATGATAAAAGTGGTGCCACGTGGATTCACAGTCTGTGCAGACGCCTATCTGACACCGAAAATTATGGAGTACCTGGACGGATTCCAGGCGGGATTTACAGATTTGTCTCAAGTCCGTGTCAACTTTATGCAATCTGATGGAGGACTATGTGAGATGAAATCGTGAGTAGTGCTGTCTTATTTTTTTTTTTGATTTATCTAGGTTACTGTAGGAGATATCAAAAAAGTGTCAATGGATAAAATGTTGCTGATAATATGGGCAACATTTTTCTAGTTGACACATTTTTGATATCGTTCACAGGAATCGAGATATGCGCCTTTAAAGTGCAGAGGAGATGCAGAGCGAAGGTGTCTGCGTCTCCCGCAAACTTTAAAGGCGCATTTCTCAAAAACCAGTGAAGTTATCAAAAAATTGTTACTAACAAAATGTTAAGTATAAAATAGTTAACATTTTGTTAGTAGACAACTTTTTGATATTGTTTACAGGAACTGAGATAAATTAATTCAAAAAAAAAAAGATTTAAAAACCACAAGATTCATTAGGCGTTTTAGCTCATAACCTTGTTCAAATTCAACATTTTCAAATCATTCAATTATCAAAATGTAGACCTTTATAAGACCTACAAAATAATATAAAAATCGATTCATCCCCTTTTCAGATTCCGAGCCTCTCGTGAGATTCTAAGTGGTACTAGGAGCTGTTGCTAGTAGTACTACTGCTATCTTTTCTTAGACTTGATTTATCTTGGCTCTTTAAGAACATATCAAGAAATTGTTAATTAACAAAATGTTTACCTTAAAATGTTTAACATTTTATCAATTGACCACTTTTTGATATCTGTTACAGGAATCGAGATAAATTGCCCCAAAAAAGGAACCAAAAAATCATAAGCCAAATTAAGACTCCCTAGGCTCTTTGGCTCATAGCTTTGCTCATTTTCAACATTTTGTAATTATTCAACTATCAAAATATAGATCTTGATTACAGCTACAAAATGATATAAAATTCAATTTATGCCCTTTTCAGATTCCGAGGCTCTCGTGCGATTCTAAGTGGACCTGCTGGTGGTGTGGTTGGAATCGCGAGCACCGCCTACAAGGAGAGTGATAAGAAGCCAGTGATTGGATTTGACATGGGTGGCACCTCCACGGACGTTTGTAGATATTCAGGTCATTTGGAACATGTTATGGAGACCACAACCGCTGGAATTACTATTCAGGCGCCGCAGGTAGCTTAAATTTAGCTGATATAATGGAGTTTTTAATTTTAAATCTGAAACTTCCAGCTCGACATTCGTACTGTAGCCGCTGGTGGTGGATCCCGCCTATTCTTCCGTGATGGCTTACTAATAGTTGGTCCGGAATCAGCAAGCGCCCATCCTGGACCAGTTTGCTATAGGAAAAATGGATATCTTACTGTAACGGACGCCAATTTGGTGCTAGGAAGAATTCTTCCAGAATACTTCCCCAAAATTTTCGGACCTAACGCTGACCAACCATTGGACAAGGAAGCGTCGTACAAGGCTATGGAAGATATTACAGAGAGGATTAATGCATTTACGAATAAGGATGAGGCGACACAGAAGACTTTTACAGTGGAAGAGGTAAAAAGGAAGGCAATCCCATCATCTCTCATAATCTGTATCATGGTTCCCACCGTTGTCAGCGCCGTCCTCAACCGGGACCCCACTCCTAGTCTCTGAGCTTTCGGGTGGGCAGGTATCAGCGAAGTTTGTAATCATACGGGATTTGCCGAGGAGGGGAGTCGAACCAACGACCCCCTCTGCTTGGCTGTGCGGCGGACAAGCGCGCTAGCCACTACACCACGCGGGCAACAACCCAAGAGGAGAGAGAATTGTGTAGACAAGGGAAAGGGGAAGAGAGAGTGCGCGAGGGGGAGAGTGGCGAGGTGGTGGGGGAGCATTTTCAGGCAATAGACCTTGTATTAGGGGTAATCGGACCCGTAGATTCCAAATTTAACACCAAAAATAGTGTCCTGGTAGTCCTTAACCCAGAAACATTTAATTTTAGGTTGCCCTTGGTTTCCTTGCCGTTGCAAATGAGGAAATGTGTCGCCCGATTCGAACCTTGACTCAATCTAGAGGTTTCAACCCATCAGAACATGTTCTAGCTTGTTTTGGAGGGGCTGGTGGACAACATGCTTGTGCTGTGGCCAAGGTTTTGGGTATTAGTCAAGTCAGAATTCATAAATACGCTTCTCTGCTCTCCGCGTATGGCATAGCGTTGGCTGATGTTGTTGATGAGAGTCAGACGCCTTCACAGCTGGTTTATGAAGAAGGTAGGGGTTTTGAAAATGCGATTATTGGATTTCTCTTGAAAAATTGGTCTTGAAAGTGGTTGAAATTTTGAAAAAAACTTTTTTCCTGAAAAATAAAAAAATTGGAATTTTGGTTTTCTTTTCATAACTTTTAAAATTTTTCCTTAAACTCAAATTGATTTATAAATTCGTGGTTACAAAGTCAGGGGCTTCAAAATGAGCCCAAACACGACTAGACTCCGCCCACTTTCATCTTTCCGGCGCGCGGCGCGGTCGTGCGTCGCGTGTCGAAGATAAACTTCAAAATGGGCGGAGCCTAGTCGTGTTTGAGCTCATTTTAAAGCGCAAAATACGTAGATTAAAAAAAATTGTGAGCAATTTGAGTATAAGCGGAAATTGACCAAGTTAGAACGGTTTTAATTTTTTTTTAAGTCAAGTTGAAAATTAGAAATCATAATAACTCGATTTCGTATGAGTTTACCTTGGAGATATTTAAAAATCTAGCTTTGTCTAGTCATGCGCTTTAAAATGAGCCCAAACACGACTAGAATCCGCGTACTTTAAATTTTCACCCTGACACGCGACGCACGACCGCGACGCGCCGGAAAAATGAAAGTGGGCGAAACCGCGTCGTGTTTAGGCTCATTTTGAAGCTCTCAGCAAGCTAAGTAAGATTAAAGTAATAAAAATATAAGAAAATATCTGATTGTGAGCCAAAATTCGAAAATTGCCAAAAAAAAATTTCAGCCAACTTCTCGAAAATCTACTCCCAATTCATGGATCTTCGCTCAACATCAATTGAGGGTCTGAAGAATCAAGGATTCTCAGAATCCCAAATTGAAACCAAATATTTTATGCATATGAGATATGAGAAGACGGATACAGCCATTATGATTAGTTGGGATGTTCAAAACCCAGAAGATCTGGTTCATTTCAATGAGGAATTCCGAAAAACCTACAGAAGAGAATTTGGATTCGTTCTAGAGGACCGTAACATCATCATAGATGACGTTAGAATCAGAACTCGTGGAAAATCTGGGTGCCACGTGGAGAAGGAGATTCAGAAGGCGTCAGAAGCTCAGAAGCACGCCAGACCAAAATCGCAAACTCAAGTCTATTTTGAAAATTGTAAATTCGTCGAGACGGGAGTCTACCTACTGGAGGAAATGCTTGCCGGACAGATTATCAATGGTCCAGCTTTGCTTATCGACAAAAATAGTACCATAGTAATAGAGCCGTCGTCTACAGTAACCATTACGGAGCATGGAAATGTGGAATTACAAATTGGGAACGATGTGGAGAAGGATTTGACGACGGAAGTAGATCCGATACGGTTGGCGATTTTTAGTAATCGATTTATGTCGATTGCTGAGCAAATGGGACGTATTTTACAGAGAACAGCCATCTCGACGAATATTAAGGTAATAAAAAAACAATAATTCGGTGAAAAATTCCAAAAAAATAAAACTTTGAAAAAAACATTTTTCGAAAATTTCACGAAAAATTTCAAAATCCGCCGATTCTGATAAAAATTGATATCACGAGCTGAAATAGCTCAAAAAACAATAATCCGAAAAAAGATTCCGAAAAAATTGAAAATTGAAAAATTTTTTTTTTGGAAAATTTCACTTTTTTTTTTCGAAAAATTTCAAAATCGGCCGATTTTGATAAAAATTGATATCGCGGCCTGAAATGGCTCAAAAAACAATAGTTCAGTAAAAAATTCCAAAAAAATTGAAAATTGAAAATTTTTTTTTTGAAAAATTCAAAAGTTTTGTTCTCTAATTTTTTTCTGAGAATTCTCTTAAAATAATTCGAATTATGTCAATTTTTTTTAATCGGGAAATCATAGGCTTTAAAATGAGCCCAAACACGATTAGGCTCCGCCCACTTTGAAGTTTCACTTCGACACGCGACGCACGACCGCGACGCGCTGGGAAATTTCGAAGTGAGCGGAACCTAGTCGTGTTTGGGCTCATTCTGAAGCTCTCAACGTGTTCTATTCAACTTACTTGTTGAATTTCAAAAGTCTGAAAATTGAAAATCCTAATTTCTAAAATATTATTTTTTTTTAACTTTCGAAAATTTTGATTTTCTTTTCATAACTTTTCAAATTTGACCTTGAACTCAAATTCGTTAAAACATTTGTCGTAGACAAGTCAGAAGCTTCAAAATGAGCCCAAACACGACTGGGCTCCGCCCTTTGAAACTTTGAAATTTCCCTTCGACACGCGACGCACGACCGCGACGCGCCGGTAAATCTCAAAGTGGGCGGAGCCTAGTCGTGTTTGGGCT